ACTATTCTGCTCTTAGCCTACCAAAGCCTTGGTGTGGTATATGGGGACTTGAGCATTTCACCATTGTATGTTTACACGAGCACATTTGCAGAAGATATTGAACATTCAGAGACCAATGAAGAGATTTTTGGTGCTCTTTCTTTTGTCTTCTGGACTCTGACATTGGTGCCGCTATTCAAATACGTGTTTGTGGTTCTTCGTGCCGATGATAATGGAGAAGGTAAGCATTTGAACAAATGAAGGAAGCCAATATGCTACTTCTTATGTTGATGATTTTCATGTATGTTTCTGCAGGCGGTACATTTGCTCTATATTCCTTGATTTGTAGGCATGCTAAAGTTAGTCTTCTACCAAATCGACAACATGCTGATGAAGCGCTTTCTACATATAAGATGGAGGAGCCTCCAGAGAAAAATACTTCAAGAGTGAAGATGCTGCTTGAGAAATATAAGGCCTTGCATACAGCTCTGCTAATTGTGGTTCTTCTTGGCACTTGTATGGTAATTGGGGATGGACTACTTACCCCAGCCATTTCTGGTAAGATTCCTCCTTATAGTTATATTAACCATGCTTTTAAATATAATTTCTTATCAATTCGTTGACTAGTCTTCCATTCATGTATGTAGTTTTCTCGGCAGTGTCTGGTCTCGAGGTATCTATGTCCAAGAAACACCACCAGTGTAAGTTTCACTTATGGCATTCTCTATAACTCAATATAATATGTCAGTACTCAGTAGGATTAAGCTGTATAGATATCTTCTAATTAAATGGCAAAGAAGTTTGTTTAACTGTCACATGAAAATAACTGGAAAAAAATTTAAAGCCGGGTCAGCTTAGAGTACAACGATGAAAGAGTTTATTCATAGCTTATTATATTAGTGGAAATGGTTAATTTGAGAGATTTCTTCCTTGTTTCTGTATTTGAACCTATTGATATGTGTTTGCAGATGCTGTGATTCCCATCACTTGCTTCATACTGGTCTGTTTGTTTGCACTCCAACACTACGGAACGCATCGGGTGGGATTCCTTTTTGCACCAGTTGTTCTGGCATGGCTACTGTGCATCAGCACACTTGGTTTATATAATATATTCAAATTTAATCCACATGTATATAAAGCTCTTTCACCGTATTATATGTTCAAGTTCTTGAAGAAGACAAGGATAAGCGGATGGATGTCTTTGGGTGGAATATTACTTTGCATAACAGGTAATGGTGGAAAATTCATATATATGGTTAAATCTTAAAACTAATTATTGTGCTGTACTACATATTCATTAAATCCATATACATATGTCGTGCAGTTTTATGCGGTAAGAATAATAGATTTGAGGCATCATTTGAGCAACCTCAGGGTCAAAACTATGATTTAATTAGGGCATAGATTAAGTTCTGTGTGCACATTTACTTTTGAATAAATTCTGGACTGCTCCTTTATCATTGTTCTCTTTAAAATATTAGACAGCACCGTGTTATTTACATAAAAGAACAAATTTAATTTACTTTCAATATGACCAAGCAAGAGATTATGCCCTCAATAGATTCGAGTAACACATGGAGCATTGTAAAACGTCTATAGTTGTTTCAATATAATGTAGTTTACCAGATGACAGACTTCTTATGTGTTGACCTTGTGAGCAGGCTCAGAAGCTATGTTTGCTGATCTTGGCCATTTCTCATATGTGGCCATTCAGGTTGGTTTATAATGTTTTCACATTTTCTTTTCCCTACTTTTGTTCTGGAATACTGGCAGGCTTTTATGAACCCGCGGAAAGGTCATTTAAATGGGAAAGGTCTTCTTAACAATTTGTCATGTGCATGCAGATTGCATTCACCTCTCTAGTATATCCTGCCCTTATATTGGGATATATGGGTCAAGCTGCTTTCTTGTCACAACATCATAATTCCGATCTCCAAATCAGTTTCTATGTCTCAGTTCCAGGTATTCAATGTCCCGGCTCACTTTTTATAGGCAATTCCTAACTATTCTATAAGCATTAAAATTAGAAGGAAGCCACATAAATAACAAGATGGAAATTTTTCCCTTGCAACGTTGTAGTAAATGTGAACTTATCTGAAATGCCTTTGTAGTTTCCTGAAAATATATGATTCTTCTTGCCTCATATAATAGCAAATTATAGAAAACATGATGTTAGTTCTTGGCTGCAGAAAATGTGAGGTGGCCAGTGATCATCTTAGCTATTCTAGCTTCTGTCGTGGGGAGCCAAGCAATCATCAGCGGGACATTTTCTATCATAAACCAGAGCCTATCTCTAGGTTGCTTCCCAAGAGTTAAGGTTGTTCATACATCAGACAAGATACATGGTCAGGTCTACATCCCTGAAATTAATTGGATACTCATGATCCTTTGTATTGCTGTGACCATTGGATTTAGGGACACGAAACACATGGGAAATGCAGCAGGTAAAGTTACACATTTATGCATGATTAACTGGATCATGGTTTTTGCCTTATTGTTTAACAATATTGTGAGTCTTACCTAGATCCTTTGGGACTACCCTACATATTTTTGACTGTTAACATTCACTTTCTTAATATAAGCTTCAGTTAGGTGAGTCGAAGATACTTAACAATATTAATTTCTGAGATGGAATATTGGTGTTCATTTGAATGACATAAAAATCTATCTTTATTTGCTGCAGGGTTAGCAGTGATGACCGTGATGCTGGTGACAACATGCCTCACTTCCTTAGTGATTATACTTTGTTGGCATAAACCCCCTATTATAGCCCTTTGTTTCCTATTGTTTTTTGGCTCTATTGAACTGCTTTATTTCTCAGCTTCACTGATAAAGTTTCGTGAGGGTGCTTGGTTCCCTATCCTCCTGGCCCTCTTCCTTATGATTATAATGTTCATTTGGCACTATGCAACCATCAAGAAATATGAATATGACCTTCACAACAAGGTCTCACTAGAATGGCTTCTAGCCTTAGGTCCAAGCTTGGGAATTGCTAGAGTCCCCGGAATAGGCCTAGTATTCACCGATCTCACCACTGGCATCCCTGCAAACTTCTCCCGCTTTGTCACCAACCTCCCTGCATATCACCGCATCCTTGTTTTTGTATGTGTAAAATCAGTGCCAGTCCCTCATGTCCCTATTGCTGAGAGGTACCTTGTAGGCCGTGTAGGACCTGCGGCTCATCGGTCCTACAGGTGTATAGTCAGATATGGATACCGCGATGTTCATCAGGATGTTGATTCCTTTGAATCTGAACTGGTAGAGAGGCTTGCTGATTTCATCCAATATGATTGGTATCGGACTAGGGGGAGCAACATGAGTATTGAGGATGATACTTCGCACTCTAATGAATCATCAAGTCGTAGATTAACTGTAATTGGAACAACTGGTTTCTCCAGCCATCCAGGATATGAGATTGAGGAGAGTGTGCAGCCAGCAAGGGTATCTGTTGAGTTCTCCACTGTACAAAGCGTGATGGATGTTATTGAAATGGAACCAATGGCTGTGACTGAGAAAAGAGTGAGGTTTGCCATTGATGATGAGCCTGAAAGTGACACAAAGTCTGAGGTAGGTGTCCAAATGCAGGAAGAGTTGGAAGATCTTTACGCTGCTCAAGAAGCTGGGACTGCATTCATTCTTGGACATTCTCATGTTAGAGCAAAGCAAGGTTCATCTCTGGTGAAGAAATTGGCCCTTAACTATGGCTACAATTTCTTGAGAAGGAATTGTCGAGGCCCAGATGTGGCGCTTAAGGTTCCCCCAGTTTCTCTTTTGGAGGTTGGCATGGTTTATATTGTGTAGAATATTTAACAAGTGGATTACCTTCCTTTCTTCTTTTTTATGTTTTTCATGTAGAGATGTAGGCTTTAATGGCAGAGCATTGTGCAGTTTACAAAGGCTTTTGTGAACGAGACTGTATGAATGACTCTACCATTAAAATGTAACTTAATTTATATAGCATGCTTGAATTCATAGCATAAGGCTTATATAGATGTTACAATTCCCTGTTGTATATTTTTGAAACTGTAGGAGACACTTGAATGATTATAAACTTTTTTTTTTTTTTTTTAATGTAGATTTTATAAATCTAAAAACAAAGATCATCTGCAAGAAATAGATCCTCCACCCAGTACATAGCCTATTTACACGTAAAGTAATTTTAAGGGAATGAAGAGTATCACTATTATATAATGGTGGTCAACAAACAGAATCGTGCATCCGAACAAATGTTGGCCATATTTTTTTTTTCTGAGATGTTCTAATTAGTTCATTTTCGTGACTAATTCGATTGAGGGTGAGTCCTGTAATTAAAGTTTTAAATCTCTCTTAAAGACTGTAATGGAAAGTATCGAATACATATTTCCATTCTATCTATTTAATTCTCTGGCAACAACTGAAGTATTATCATTTAGTTGTTGGTCGCATTTATGTTTCGGCGGAAAGGAAGATCGTTAATAAAGTATTTGTGTGGTATAGAAGTTAATTACTCGCGCCCTGTGTTGTAGCGTGCCGTAATCTGCCTCTAAAAAAATGCATCATATACTAGCAAAAATGTGAATATACTTTACACTATTTATTTATGACCGTACTAGAGGGAAGCCTTAAATAATAAAAAATATACGAGAAATGATTTTTTGCATTATTACTCGTTTACATAATTTTTTTACATTAAAATTTTTATATAGAAAAATTAGATCTTGTGGAGATATATAATAATTGTTGAAATTCATAAAATAAAATGGCATACAAATATTAGTATACCATATGTTATTTATCCAAGATATTTTAGTTAATGATGAACATGAGTCACGCGACATAAAGCGGGAAGAGAAGAGAGATCCTCTCATTTTAAGAGTTCCCCATGGTGCCACATAGTCCACTGTTAACCACCATATTTTGTGAGTGGTAGCAGAGCTTGGGACAAATTGACAACCTCATGTGGCTAAAATTTCGTGGCTCAAAATCTAAAATGAAGTGCACTCATAGGCTCATATATATATAAAAACATAAGGTACAGAGTTCAGAACCAGGGTTCTGAGTACCGAGAGAAGCTAAAATGGGACTTGGGACTCTGCCGTTGACCTCTCCTTATAGCAGTTTCTCTTCAAAGTCAGGACTTGTACACAACATTACTAATCGCAGCAGGCTCAACAGAAGCATAAAATTCTCAGTTTCGGCCAAACAAGAGAACGAAGAAGAAAATAAGGAAAAACAATCTTTGTTTAGCAGTATAACCGAAGCTCTTGATTTTTCTCAAGTGAGATCTGCAGAGGATGCTCAGCTTCTACAAGATGCTAGACAAGCCACAAGGTCTGGAGACAAGATGAGCAAGGAACAGGTATTATCTTACTCTTCCAAGTCATCTTGTTTGCATAAAATAGTAAAATTTTCTGCATCTTTATTTATTATTTATGATCCTGCTAACTAAATTTTATATTTTTAAAATGCAGTATGGAGCTCTTAGAAGGAAAATTGGTGGGACATACAAGGATTTTTTCAAATCTTATGTTGAAGGTACAAAAATTTATTTTTAGCTTTCAAATGAATGAGACACTAGTCTGTCTCTGTTCCTTGATTAGTCTCTCTTATTGAATAGCCAACATTTTTTATTTTCTTCTTTTGCTAATGAAATTCTATAGAAAATGTTTTTCTTCTGCTAATAATAGAAGATGAACTTTAATTTCCAATTTTGCTTAGTAATTGAGCTGAAACATTCTTTTTCCATTGAGCAGTGGACGGGGCATATGTTGAAGAGGGGTGGGTTGACAAAACGTGTAAGGTGTGCAAAAAGGACACCAAGGGAGAGGCAAGGCAAGTGGACAAGTTTGGAAGATATGTTCATGTAGCATGTCTAGAGAAGTCCAAAACAGGGAACTTCTTTACCAGATTGTTCTCTATGTAAAGAGCATTCATGAGTCAAGACATTTTCTCATTTAGTCATATACCCAAGGATTCTAATTAGTCTTCCAATTATCAAAATAGATATTCAGATTTTGTATGGTTCAATACAAGAATTAAATTAAATTAAATTTTCCTCATTTGCCAAATGAAATTATAACAATCTTGACCATGCATATTTTTGTTTATCTCAAGGCTTTATCTCCTCTTTGAAAGTGTATCCCATACAGCCATATGATATAGGTGATATATGTCCTGAGAACTTGGTGAGTTAAAGGTGTAACACCATGTGTTCTGAGAATATTCCACAGACCATTGAAGACATTTGTACGCTAGGCAGACCCGCAAAATGAAAAACTACGTATGTAACATCCCCGTCTCGAGCCGGTTCAATTAATATGTATATGATACAAACAGAAACAGCAGAAGACTTAATTTACGAAAATACGAGCTAACTTTTTCTTTTTCTAGTTTAACTTTTATTCGGCGGAGACGAAAATCGGACAGAGTAACCTCTGTAAATCGGACAACTGAGGATTTTCCAATCCCACTCACAAGAGTTCCTGATAGACAGTTTAGACAGCATATCAATTCAGAGGTACTAGACATCCAAATATAATCAGATATCCATCCATGGGCGCATGCATAATATGACTGCGTGCCACTATACCTAATCAGCATGCAATCCAATCACGAAATCATAAACTGAATAATACATCATCATATAATGTGCCTGAATACCCAAATGTACATGCATCAAACTGACAGACATGTACAAAACATATACAAGCCATATACAAAATAAAGGATCAATATCATGATCCATCAAAATGCGGAAATACAAAATAACATAAATGCACTTCAAAAGGTTAGTAGCCTACAACTACTCAAAAGACTGATCCGTCCCAACGTCTCAGCCATGGGTCGCGTCCTTGCCTAGTGAGGACTCACCGGGAACCTGGGCACCTGAAAATATGTCCCCAAAGAGGGGTGAGATTACAAATCTCAATAAGCTCCAGGTTTATAGAGAATTCTCCATACCCCTGGCTCACTCCTGCATGAAAGTCAGATACAGAGTATACAATGCACATATAACAAATATCAAAACAGAACAAAGCATATATCCATATCATATCAGAGGCGTGCACTGTTATTCCCAAGGGAGGATCCCAAGCGGAAATTAACGCACGTGTTCCCAAGGGAGGACCCCAAGCGGAGCCAGAACATGTCAGAGGTGTACCTCGTCAATCTCAGGGAAACCCCAAGAAGACATCAGTGTACCATACGTCAATACAGAGATCATATCAGAACAAGTCATATCATGTTATCAAATAACTCTATATGAATGCATCTATACAAAGTATCAAACAACAGTCATAAAGTCCAACCATAGTTCCCTAACCATTGTGGAGCACTCAAGCAGGAAAAGACTCCTTAAACATAGAGCTTACCTCTTGAAGCTTTTTCAATCTGTTTACTTGTGGCACAAGTTACTTATATATCTTCAAGAGATTCTGATCCTTTTCAGTCCCTAGGAACACCTAGAGAAAAAATCCAAAATACAAATCAATAAAATGATATCATGCCTAGATTTTCCATAAGGCATACATTTTATCGCTTATATTCATTTCTTTATATTTTTGCCAATCTTATGCCAATACACAAGTCAAAACCCATAATTCTATACATCCTCTTATTAGACGTTTATTACAATTTTTATTGTTCCCTAGCCCCCAAAGACCTTAAATGGCCGAAACCAAAACTAGGAAGGCTAGGAATTTCGTTGGGTTAATTTAACAAAACCAATAGTTCCTAGAGCCTCACTTGCTTCCTAAGTTCCATATAGCAATTTTTAAACACTTCTTTTGGCCTATCCTCTCTCTCAAGGCCGTGCATGTATACAAGGAGACCAAGGTGTTTTTCATCATTTTTCCAAACTATTTATCTTCTTCAACTCAACAATGCATTGGAACCTCCACATTTTATCAAAGTACAATGTAACTTAATTTACCCTTAAACCATCCTAAATCACCTAAAGGGCTGAAATCCATACAATGATTTCCAAGGTTTTCTTTCTTATTCAATTTATTTTATTCACTTAATTTTTTGCAACTTATACATACATACCACCTTCACAATCCATATAATTAAATTTTTTGCACAATAAACCCTTCATAACCCTATATGGCCGAAACATAAAGAGAAAAGGCATATGATTTTTTTTCAATTTTTTTTACATACATACCAATTTTTTTTACATACATACCAATGCTTGTTTTCCATTCCTATATCCAACACATCCATAATACATCATCAAATTTCAAATTTTAACTACTTTATTTCTCACCCAATCATGATCATAATTTCAAAACATAAATCACAAGAATAAAACCATAGGATTAGAGTTTTGTTACCTCTAATCACCTATCCAAAACCTATAAGACATTCACTAAGAGAATCTCCATCAAAAGCTCTATTTTACCTTCTTGATGAATAGTGCAACGCAAAAGGGGGAAGGGAATATCTTCTCACACAAGCAATGATAGCTCAAACTAATTGGTGGAATGGATTCATTGGACTTTCTCCTATGATTTTCATGTGTGGCATCAAGCTTTTTGGAGACACAATGAGTGGAAATCAAAGGAAGAAAGAAGAAACCCTAACCTTCCCCTTCCAAGGTGAACCTCGGGCATGAAGAGAGAGAAGAGAGAGTTTTTGTTGTGTGAATAGTGATTCACTTAAGTGACAAGGCTATATAGACACATGTGACCTTTTAACAGATGTTTTTCTTTCGCGCATTTTAACTTAAACTGACCCAGAACTAACTCAAAGCTACAGACATATTTTTATTTTTCTAAAGTCATTTACATTAATTTTTATTTTCTAAGGAATAATATTCCAAATTCACAATATGGTTTCTGCACCGTTTTTTACGAAATGCACTGCGAATCACTAACTGTACTTCGTTTACTTATAAACTTAAAACTTATGAACTTATCATTCTTGGGCCTATTTTGACTTGCTTGGCATATATTGGACTTTCTTATTCTTGTTTTATCAAATATTTGCTTCTGGACTCTATCGGTTGCTTAAACAGCAGTACAAAATACCCGGTAGAAACACTATTCATGAGATTTTCACGGAAAGTGCCAGACTATACAATTTTTCGTTCTGAACTCATATTTGGCGTCAGAATTGTCAAATTATGTCACAAAAATCATTTTGCTCATTTAAGCACTACCGGTTAATTCACAAGACTGCAAATTCTCCGGCAGAACGCATTGTTCATAACCTAGTCATGATTACAGTCAAAATACTCGAAATCACTCACTGAATCTAATTTTGGCATTTAAATCCTTAAATTAAACCTCTAATTAAGATTTACCATTTAGGGTCATTATAACATACAGTTCCAAGTTTCAGGTCTTTACATTACTTTATATAATGTTATTAGTAACAACACCATAAGACAGTTTTCTACTCTTTGAAACTAAAAATGCAATAATTTTTAGTCACAGCACTATACAACATTCCAGTTGGGTTTCGAGCACAGGCAAACCCAGCAAGCTGACCACCACATTGCATTTGATCCACTTGTCTAGAAGGAACTGCCACCCAACAACATCTTTAGGAAAGGTGTTTGATCTTCGTTAATAACAGGGTTCTAATTTTCTTCTCCTAAGATATTATGATTTCCATCTATTTGTGTGGTATGAGGTTCATTGCTGCTTCGTCCAAATTTATTTTTCCTTTGTACTTGCGATCTACCACTAATAATGCTTGTCACACATTCAATACTCTCACTAATCAATTCCACACTAAAGTGTTTAAGGAATTGAGTCAAAAATAGGGAAATATCTTTGGTGCATCAGATGTATTCAACTGGGTACATCTTTTTTCCATACTTGAAAAACTTTTCACCATTTTTTGAAATTTTTTTCCCAGAACATTGAAATTAATTCTCCTTGTGGAAGAAAGATGTTCCCAGTTGGATACATGCACCCAAGTTTTGTTCTATAAAAAGGTCTTACGGCAACTAAAAGCCTTTTACTTTGTACTTCAACCATCTATATGTCGAATCATAAAATAGCCAAAACACACGAGAATTTTCATGCTCGGATGATATGGAATGTTAGTTCCCATGAAACTTACTCTTTCGTCTACTTCTTTGGGTTTTTTCAGCTCTACTCCTAGAAGTAGTCAGAAGTCTTTTTCAATAGTGTTTGGAATGGCGATAATCGAAATAGGTTAAGCAATAACCATATAAGTGAAAGGATCAGTAATTTAATGCTTTAATGTGGTCAAGATATGCACCGATACGGGACACGACACGACACGACACACCAACACGTTAATTCTAAAAAATGTCATATTTAGACACGTTGGGACATGTTTTGATATTAAATAAAAAATTTAATATATATAATATAATTTATATTTAAAGATATGGGTCCCACCTCTTTGTGAGAGTAAAATGACACAAGTTGTGTCATCTAAAAAGACAAACACTTTTCTCTTTAATTAATTTTTACCTGTGCGTTGATTTTTCTGACGGTTATAATTTATCGTGAATCTATTAGTGGAAATTAACGACTAGTATGTAATATCAATTTTTTTTTTATTTTGACACCAATGTTAAATGAAAATATATATATATATATATATATATATATAGAGAGAGAGAGAGAGAGAGAGAGAGAGAGAGGTAGGATCCTTTGACACCAATGTCAAATTTGAAATTTGACACCTCATCTGAGAGTCATTAGATTAAAAAAGATTAACGACTCTGATTTGTAAGCATGTGTATTTTTTTGATCTAACGGCTCTCAGATGAGGTGTCAAAAGATCCTACTTCATATATATATATATATACACATATATAGGGTTTAGTGAGTGTACAGTGACTGGATATAAAATTCAGTCCAGTGCACTAAGTTCTCCCGCGAGAACACAGTTATAGTAAATATTATAACTATGTTCTCCCGGGAGAACACTGAGAGAACACCATTATAATATTTAGTGCACTAAGTTCTCGCGGGAGAACTTAGTGCACTGGACGGTCCAATGCTTGAATTTTTAATTTTTCATATATATATATATATATATATATATATATATATATATATATATAGAGGCAGGATCCTTTGACACCAGTGTCAAATTTGAAATTTGAGAGCCGTTAGATTAAAAAAGATCAATGGCTCTGATTTGTGAGCATGTGACACCGTTGATCTTTTTTGATCTAACGTCTCTCAGATGAGGTGTCAAACTTCAAATTTGACACCGGTATCAAAAGATCCTACCTCATATATATATATATATATATATATATATATATATATATATATATATATATATATATAAAATTTGACACTGATGTCAAAGGGTTCTGCCTATATATATATATATAGGGGTAAACATTTCTACAGCAACTTTAGATAAGCTTATCTACAGCTGCCATTTTTAACTTTATTCTCCCGGGAGAATATAGTTATAACGTTAAAAGTTGCTCTTTTCTCTCTCTCCATGTCAGCAAAAAAGTTTTGAAAAGTAAATGAGGAGAGAGAAAAAAGAGCAACTTTAACGTTATAACTATATTCTCCCAGGAGAATATAGTTAAAAATGACAGCTGTAGATAAGCTTATCTAAAGTTGCTGTAGAAATACTTTTACCATATATATATATATATATGATGTAGAATATTCTTATTACCAAATTTTTCTACTATTACTCTAATCGCTATTGGATTAGAAGAAAAGTTAAATAAATTTTTTTTTTTTTTTAAATCCAATAGGAATTAAAATGACAGTGAAAAAAATTGATATTAAAAATATCCTAAAAATTGATAGTAAAAAATATTACAGAACCAGGTTAACAAATGGCGGGAAGGAACGGCTCAACAAGATTTGGCGGGAAAAAGATAACCTACAAATTTGCACAGGGCGGGAACCGTTGTCCATTCTGATACCTACAGCCTCATTCATCGCAGAGAGAGAGAGAGAGAGAGAGAGAGAGAGAGAGAGAGAGAGAGAGCAATCGACGAGTCACGAGTCGCAACTCAGCTATGGTTGGCCCACAGTACGATTTTCTTGCAAACCCTCTTGGTGCCGTTAGATCCACCTTCGACAATGCCATAGCGTCCGGTTCCGATCCCTCCTCTTTCGACGGCAGTGACTGGGGCGCCCTCGATCTCTTCCTCCACTTCCTCTTCGAACAGTCCCGACTCTCTCAGGTTCAATCTGCAATCAAGAAAAAAAACCCTATTCTCTAATTTTTAATTAATCCAACTGAATCATGCTGTTAATCTTGAATTTCGCGTTTACGCTCTTCTTGGGTTGTGCCCTTGTAGGTTCCGGTTCTAACCCCTGCCACTATCAGATGGGTGAAGCCCAATACCCTAGTTCGGTTTCGTGGGATGATACAGGACATGCTTGGGAATGAATTTTATGTTGGCGCTTATAAGGTTTGTTGTCATATATTTAAATTTCTTGGTCTACTGCCTTGATCTTTAAGTTTAATTTTGGGGAAAATGTACCTTATTTTTTTGGGTATATGATTATTGAAGGATGATTCGGTGTGGAGGACCAACAAGTTTATGGATGTTTCTCAGTTTCCTATGGGTTCCTCAGCAGATATGCGAATCTGGGAACGCCGATTGCTTTACTGTGTTCCGGTGAGGTGTCCAGTGTTAACATTTTCTGTCCACCTTTGAACTTGCTCGGTCTATTTATAATGTTTTCTCACAAACACTCAGTTTCCTATGTTGTGTTTTTAGTGAGTAATGAATTGCATAAATAGTAGACTTTTCAAGGATTGACTTTATTGTTATTGTTTGTAATTAGGTTCCGGGACTGAACTCATGGACTGAAATTTCATCCGAAGCCGTTGCAAATCAATCTATGGATTGGACATCCGAACAAGGAGAAAAACGGAGGAGAGCTGATATGCCTGTATTTTCTGGCCTTTTTTATACTGTCTTTATTAGCTTATTGTTTCCATTGAGTTCATTTTTTTCATAAAATTATAACGTGATGGGTACATTGACCTGACCCTCTGAAATTTAGGGCCTCACATTCTTATGGTTTAGCCGTTTAGGTCCAACTGGTAATAGATTTTGGATGTTGTATTGGTTGTTTCTGTATGCCGTAGATTGAAACCTAGAGAGTCGGTCTATTGGTTTTCATTATGCTTTTGAAAACACTAGATACTGGTTAATGTGTGTTTCTCATCTTTCTTACTGATCTATGTTTGTTCACAGGTCTCCGATGATGAGGTTCAGGGTTCTCCTAATACTAAAAAAATGGTATATAGAGCTTTCGTCCAACTCCAGCTTTTTGTGTTTGGAATTTGATTGACTTAGAAGAAACATCTAAGAATTTGCTTTATAATATCTTGTTTAAAGTGGTTCATTAAAAACTTCGCTGATTTTCTTGTTCTAATTGGTTTGCTTTTAACTTTGTTTCACAATTTCAATTAAATCCAAACCAAGATATTTGTAATCCAAACTTGAGTTATGGCCGGCATACAGACCTCTAAGTCTTTAGATGACAAGTTTTGAGGTTTTGAGGCCTTGAGCTTTAGCTTCAAGTGATACTCACACATAGGTCCAGTAGCATTTCTTCAATTTCTAATCAATTAAAGTGCTCAATAGATGATTAATTTTTTATTTATCCTCCAATGTAATGGTATTAATCAATAATTTGAGTTTGATCATTGGTGCAAACTTCTATTGTGGTTCTTTTAAGAATTCATCTTAATGTTTCTTTTACAGAGAGAAGGCGAACACCCTTCCCTTGCTTCTCAATCTCAGGGAGCTGTACCTGATATTGTTGGCTCTAGTATGAGTTTGGTGCCTGATCTTGAAGGGAATTCACCTGCTTGTGTTGTAAAGGTAAGAGTTTGTCTCTTTTCAACTTCTTAGAACTAGTGAGATATATATTATTGGCACAGATTAATTTATTGTTGTTTTAAATTTCTTGGAATTATAGCTAATCTCTTTCCTCATTTTCCTCTGTATCATGCCAGATATACGATTCTCCAGAGTCTGAATTGAAGCTGAACGACATTTTTGAGTTTGTGGGTATCCTTACATCTGATCCAGAGCTTCAGGAGGACACTGAAGATACTGATTTATCAAATGGACTTTGTGAAGATCCTTTGCATCATTTTCCACCTAACAAGGTATGCACTGTAATATACATTTGAGGAGTTTTCAATATACTTTGGAAGCCCTGTATCGTCCCTCTAACGCTACTTGATTAATGAGCAATGATAAGAGGCTTGCCTGTTCTTTTAGGAAACACCTTAAAGAAGCATAAATATGCATTTGTGTATTGTTTCTATGTCTGCCTGGCATCTGGTTTTTAACATATTCATTTGCATTGTTTCCTCTATGCTGCAGGTACCACGCCTTCATTGTTTTATTCATAGGAAACTTGCGGTTCGGGACTTCCTTCAGAATAACCCTACTGTAGAGGTAACTTTCATATGTGCCTTGGTGCAGTTTATTTAATCTGACCGAATGACTTAGTATGTTAGCATATTGAGTTGGGATCCTTCTCTACTTGAAAACTCCTTGCTGAAGAAAGCATGTGCTTGATCTCACAGCCAAAGCCCGACTTTGTCAAAGGCATCAGGGAAGCTTTGCTAAGACATCTCACGGCTGTTCTTGGCAATGATGATGTAGCTGCTCATTTCATGTTGCTGCATCTCCTATCCAAGGTATGCAGTTCTTAAGAGAACATTTCCTTCAGTCATTTCATGCATTGTAAATGTTCTGGGTATTGTTGTTTGTCTTGCATATTTATCTTTTCTACTCATATTATTCGTTGCATGGTTCCCAATTCCCCTGCCCTCTATTCTTCAGTGTATCTGTATGAAGTGTTGTTTTTTACCAGGTGCATGCTAGAGTAGATGCTCTTGCTGTGGGAAAGCTTTCAGTAAACCTTACTTGTTTTAGCAAAGAAACTGCGTGTATATTTGGAAAACAACTAAACCCTGCTATCAAGAACCTCTTGCCTTTCACACATTGCATACCCCTCACAGTGGAATACTTGAACGGTGCTTCACTTGCACCAAAAAAGAACTATGATACAAACAGGTGATCGCATTTTATAGTCTTTCTGAACAAGGACTTGTTCCTAAAATACAACATATGTATTTACAACTTGTGTTAATGCTCCAGATTGGAAACTGGAGTCTTACAACTAGCTGAAGGTTCACACTTGATTGTTGATGAGACCAAATTAGAAGTTGGAATTCTCAACTCTATGGGCATAGAGAATGCAAGGTTGCTGAAAACTCTAATAGAGTTGCAAAAGGTAATTGTTTGCTTGTCTAGCTCTGCTATTATCTTGCATGGTCAACGTATTCTGTAACTCTGTTATGATATGAATCTGCATTTCTGAGAGATAAATTTGTCTTCACTCCGCACAACTGTTAGAAACCCCTATACACCAATATATAGATAAGCTTGCTAATTTTTAGACACATTATTATCTATTTATAATTGATTGTTTGCAATCACTTTTTCGGAGGTGCAAATAAAGATGATATACGTATGGTATGTGTTTCAGGTGGAATATGATTTCAAGTACTATAAAATGGAAATGGCAACTGATGTACAACTGCTAGTTTTGTCTGAGGGGAAATCAAATATCTTGCCAGCAGATGTAGTTGTGCCTTTTCGGCCTTCTGCAACCAATTGCTCTGAAGCTGTGGCCACAGAAGCTTTGGAAGCTTGGAGGTGGTATTTGGCTACTGTTAGACAACTGCCACACTCTATTGAATCAGAAATGCAGAAGGTATGAGTGATGTTGACACTAGTTTTCATGAACAAGGGTTCTTTTGGGTTAAACCAGTCAAATATATAGGTTAGCCGTTAGCCTTCCTCTTGGCATACAAACTCTGCTACTAACAAATTTTAAGTTGGGAAGACGTGGTATTATAGTTTTTTTTTTTTTTTAATGATCAACTTCAATCCATAAATATCTCAGCTGAAGACATGCATATAATTCATGATATGTAGAATAGATTCCAGGGAGCTTAATGTTGGCATTACTGTTAAGAATTCCTCTTTGCTGATATCTCTTGTTCCTTCATTATTATTCAGAACCGCCAACTAAGGCAACTACAGCATACTTATATTTTATGATAAGAACGTATAATGGAGACTTTACGCTGTTGCACGTGTTCTCAGGTGGTAGAAAATGATTTAGTTGAAGCAAGACAAGCAGACAGGAGCTTGAATCCCCAAGATTTAAGCAGGTTAGTGAGTGACTAATTTACATGCATTGTAGCATTTTTTTTTAGTAGCATAACTTTTTTGATCAGTTGTTCCCTACCTTTTACACCTCTCCCTTCTTCGACAGATGGTTAACAATGGGCCGCCTCATGTCCCTGAGCTTTGGTGAAACCAGCCTGTCACTAGAACATTGGCAAATGGTCAAGGAACTGGAGAGGCTGCGAAGAGAGAGGTTAAAGTGAAAATACAATTTGGAAATACAAATTATTCCAATTTGTACTAGCTTTTAAACACGGGTCAAGCTATGTTGTTGACGGCTTAATTTCTGCCACAGATTCTGGGAAATGAATGCAGTTAGATAGGTTCAAGGGGTTTGGCTGTGTTAGATCTGATTACCAGAATTGTCTTATTGTTGCCTACTACGCAGCATATTTAACTTATGGATGTGAATAAGAAAGAATCAAATAATCGGTTCCATAAATTCTGCATTCAGTAAAAGCAATATAACGCCATTTCATATATTTAGTTGCTTAAACGATTTTCTAGAATCTCTTTATTCTGCCATTCGGCAGGCAAATAGGCAATATTCAATGTCAGCATTCAGGTATCTATCAAGGGTGCGCACCCCTCTCATCAGAGTTTACGTACACTCACTTAAACATCTTCTCAGCATACTTGTATAATTTTTACAATGTGAATATGGTTGGTCCCATTTGAACTTTTAAACACCTACGTTCTTATTATGTTACTTATGCAGGGATGTGAGTTCATGTGCATAGAAGTGTGCACCAAGCATTTTTCCAGCCGTAATGTAAAGAAAAAAAATTTCAACATGAAAACCCGTAGTTAAGTTTCCTCGGATTTAATTAGAGATCCGAAGAATAGGGTATCATTTATGATTTTTGTCATAACCCCATGAGGCTTTAGAGGGTGCGCAGCCGGGGGAGGTGGGTGGGAAACTACGCTTTAACCTTTTTCTTCGTATGTGACGGGTAATTAAAATTAAAATTTGTTTAATTTGTATGTAGCTATTATTTTATAAAAATGTTATTCAATTATTTTAAAAAAATTGACTCTTACATTTTAAGATAAAAAGAAGAAGATAGAAAACAAAACACAGGATTTGTTGGGCTCCGTAAAGTTTTGGAAATATGTTGGTGGTGAAGAGTAGTTTAGAGTGGAAATACGGGAAATTTTATATTTATATTTTTTTTCCTTTACAACTTTGTTTATGTATTTTGGGCAATACATAAGTTGGTGTGTGTATTTCCAAGAATATATAGATATGGTTATAAAAGCTGTAAAGAAAAAAGGTGGTAAGTATAATCCTCTTCTTACTTTGTACACTATTTCTATACTATGTTTTTGTACTATCATGTCGAGATTGAGTCTTGTATGGGATTTATACATGGTAATTTGGTAAGCCTCTTGTTTACTAATTAAACCAATATGTCAAAAAAATTTAAGTGTAAAATTAATCGCAAAAGTTATTATAATTGCGATTAAGGGTTGGGTTATTTGGAAAGTTCGAATAGTATTGGCGAAAAGTTTGTTAGTAGGTCATGTGATTGCTGGTGCACTTTTACTGATTTATAGTATGCTTTTACTTGGAATGTGATACCTTAAACTTTTGGTTTAACAAAAAAAAAAAAAAGTAAGCTATAAATATCACGATCTTAAAAAAGCATGTTAGTAGCTGACCAGCCAAACAGATCCAGAAAGAATTTCTAGTAGAGTCAAAATCAGTTTAAAGAAAACAATATTGACTTAATCTTACAAGCTAAGTTAAAATCTGATAATCAAATTCAATCATTGGTTCTAGTTATAAATGATTATCCTTTTTCTTTAGCTTAACACTTGATTGATTTAAAATCAGGGCTTCATTATAAAAGCATCACCATACTTTGAAATGGTATCAAATGTTGACCTTAGAATGCATCTATATTTATATGCCATGTTCTACAATTCGTTGGGAACTAAAATAACAACCATTTGAAGACAATAATCATAACAATAATAGAAGTATAATTTATCATTCTGCTAACTTCTAGCTTAATCATTCGGCCATTATCTTTTCTCATTATCCTCTGCTACTGGTTTCACATGGCTGGACCTTACTGGAAGTATTTGGTGGAGAGTAGTTAAGGCAAGATTACGAGACATGGATTCGCCAAAAATTAAAATGGAAAGAAAAAGAAAAATACTTAAACAGTTAAAACATTTATACATAAGAAGAAGTATATTGTATAATCCTACTTAAAAGACATTATCTTTATCTTTCCGCATATTTTATACATGGTTCTAATAACCGACTTCATTTAAGTATTCATAATTTTTAACAATATTTCATATTTATTATAATCGTACACAATAGTCATGACTTTCAGTCATAATTTAATGTCTAATGATATTCTTTTGTAAGAAGATTTTGTGGCCAAAAGGAACATTAGTATTAGCTTAGCCGTCTCAAAATTAAGAAGTTTTATTAGTGATATCAAATTCGAATTATGGATATATTTTTGTATTGAAAATTTAATAAGGAGAGTTTTGCCACTCTTATAATCATGTCCGACTCAATTGGATTAGCTGATTAATTAATAAAATAGTGAAGAAATTTAAAAAAAAAAACATATATATTCAGGACAAAATTGTTTATGGCCGAAGAACTTAGCTAGGTAGCTTGCGGCAGCACCGTTTACTATAGGTTTGCCCCTTCATGCTTTAGATAGTATTTGGTATAAATTTTGGTTGAAATGCTGGGAAAGTGGGGGGTGAGAATTTTTTTTTACCATATTCAATATGAGTAAAAGTAAAAAAATCTCAGGATACTTTTTTTTCTATCATTCCCGTTTTAATTACACATGGGAAAAAAAAAAAAAACCCTATCCCACCCATGTTATTATTATTTTTCTCACCAACTAGAAAACACATTTTTATATTTTCAGACAAAAATGTCCTTATACAATATATCAACAGATGTGTAAAAATAAATAATTTTATCATTTTAGTTCAGATTCCCATCAATATCTTATAGTTAACCAAAATTTTTTTTTGGACTATGCCCCCTTAAAGATGCCATCTCTAATTCTTTAGGCTTTTACCCTTTGGGCTAGGAAAAACGTTGAATTTCTATTCTTGGGAGTTGCCATTGATGGCCCAAGTCAAACAAGTGCCATCGTCCAAAGTGCAAAAAGAAATATAAACAAGTAAAAGAAAGAAGAAAATGGTTCTACTTCTCGAAACTCTTTGACTTCTAAGAATCATATACTACTTGGACCTCCCGCTCCTGTTTGTATATTTTTAGGCAACAACCCCAATTCAATATTCAAAGTTGAAACTATGAATTGGTTAGTATTTTCACATGCGTGACAAGCGCAGGACAAGTAATATTGAAAAGAAGTCGGTGCAATTTTCTATGTTCGCTTTGAGGATTTACTAGTAGTCAAAAGTGAATTTAGTTACTGAAGATGCAGAAGTTGGAAAAGACTTGGAATCAAAAAGCATCATCAAATTGATATAAAGTCGCCCCCAACTTGGTAAATTATCATTTCGGGGGATTAAATATACAAAGCTATTGAGATCATCACCACTTTTACTTCATCAATGATCAATGGGATATCTCTGAAACTAAAAAAAACAACAACATATTATAATAGGCCTAGCGGGTGCCATATAGCCACCACAGCATTGAAACTCCTCCTAATCTACCTTTTTTTCTTTCCTCACACTTTCCAACTATAACAAAACAAGCCAACAATGCCATATATTACAAGCACACAAACATTAACTCAAAATGGGAACTTAAAAAAAGTTTTCTAAAACTGTCCCCCCTCAAATGTCTGTCCAAATTGCCAATTACCAGGAGCAACATTGTTGCTAGTCATAGTTCTGCCATCACTTGTAGTGACCTGGAAAGAGAGGCTTTGGCCATTGAGGTAAGAGTTGCTTTGCCAATTCTGGCCCCAGTTTCTAGACATTTTTTGCCACCCATTTTTACCCTTGATGGACACAGATTGAACATCTCCAGCTCCACCAACATTTGTGATCAAAACCAAGTTAAAGTAAGAGTGGCCATTAATTGTGAACCTGATTCCTCCTTTCTTCACACAGGGAACTCTGTTTCAAGCCAAAAAAAAAAAAAGCATGTTAATGAATGGTTCTAGTCAACACTGAGCTGAAAGCTTAAAATGAAGTACAAACAAACAAGTATTAAGGAATTTCTGGGATTTACCTTCTGAAGGAAACAGGAACAATTCCAGCTTTGTATTGTGCAATTTGTAAGAAAGCAGGCTCAGCAAGATCAAAGTGCTGTAGAGGAGGGTTGCACCACCCACCATTGTCATTAGACAATGCATAGTTAGGGGGGCAGAAGTTTGTAGCAGTAACCATTATGCTACCAGGGAGGCACCATCTGGGCTCACCATTACATTTCATTTCATAGCAAGAACCACAACTCAAGCCACTGTTGAATAGAGCAGTGCTTAGTGCTGCAGTGTTAGTCCCATAGCCTTGACTATACAAATTTCCATAACCACATGCCCCTCCTGAAATCATAACATTCTCATGAGAAACTCACATACACAAATGACTATATGAGAAGAGTCACTTTTAACTTCATGCCTAAAAGAAATCATAATGTACACCACAACAATGTTCTTTTTACTTTTAACCCCACATATAGCTCAAATATAGAAAAAAAAAAAACACTCCCAGTTAAACTCGGCTAGCGAGTGTGGGGTGAAGCTAAACCCTTACATAATTGCAAAGACACTGTTTCTTAGATTCGAACCCATAAAGACAAGGAATTTTATTAAACTTACCCATTGTGCCTGATGCATCTCCCCCACCATAAAATGTGGCATGACCACCTTGCCATCCACCTCCATAGTCACCATAAGTGCCTTTAAGGCATAGGTTAAGAAGAAAGAAAAGAAGAGAGATGGCAGAGGTTGCTGCAATTGCCATTGTGTGTGGTACTAGTAGTGCTTGGAGAAGTTGAGGACTAAGAATGTAAGATAGGAGAGAGAGCTTTACTTGTTGGTGCTTAATGCTCAGCTAAGATTGGTTTGCTTTTATAGGAAAATTAAGCATAGGTTGGGTGCACTAAAAGACCAAGTTGTGGGGTCTTATTATGCTAGAAAAAGACAAGTTAGCATTTCTCAAGTCTAAAAGAGAGAGCCAAACCTCAAAAACGTATTCACATTTTTTCAGAACTTGGGAGCGAGAATCAAGGCGCACATGCAAATGTTTCGGTTACACTACCAACTGCTTAATCTACGGCCCCACTTGGCACATGCATTTCTCAACTGTTCTCATGTAAGTTATATCTCTTAATTTTGTATGTTTATTTCAGTTGGTCATTACGTATGACAGTGTAGTGTCTTTTTTTTCTTCTTAAATGACCCTTAAATCACGGCCTATAGCAGAAAAAGGCCACTAATTTTGGGTTATCTTAAACCTTTTTAGATAGGTCCAACTTTGTGTGCTGTTGAGGACGGCACCAAACCTTGTAGAATTAATGACATTTATTAACATATACTAGACTTCTTTGCTTTTTTTTTTTTTCCACCTCTGCATACTTTGCATTCAATGAACCATTCTCAGTTGCAGTAATTTTATTTTGTAAATGTTGCCACCTTACATTACCCTTTCTGCGTTCTGCTTGGTTCTATCTTATTATGTATGAAAAGGACACAACAGTTTGAAGAAATGTGTATGCAGAAGGATTTAATATTGTAGATGGTTCTGAGCAAATAACCGACATGAACAGTAGCACTCCACAGAAACCATGAGGTCAAGTATTTTGATTACACGTGTCATTGCTCAAGTTAAGAGGATTTTGAAAATCATTACTGCTTAAAGTTTACAATGATAACCAAAATTCTGTTTTTGTCTTTTTCTTTTGCTTGCCTAACTCTCTTAATAATCCCCAGCATATATTAGTCACTTCAGATGAGTACTAATACTTGGAAAGAATCTTATTAATTATTTTATGGGTTACTAGTTTCTCCTTTCGCTGCTGATGAGAAAAGTTACAGCAAATTATTAACACTAGGATACGGGATCGTATCCTGACCTAAAAAAAAAAACACATCAGGATCCGGACGCATATCCTGATGAAAATAAATGTTGCTGCATTCTTTTCCATCTACAGTGACAGAAGAAGTATATAACCTTTATTTTATTTTTTAGGTTACTTGATAAACCATATTCTAATAAACAAATTGTATATAGGTAACTGTCTCTGCAATCAAAATAAATTACCTATGCCCATTTGTACGGTGGAACAAGTAAATTAAAACAGTTACATCACACTAACTATGAAATAAACTTTCAACAATTTACTAAAATCTAAGAAATTTGTGTCCAAGTAGTAAGTATATATGTAACTGCTTTACTTTAAAATTGATATAATTGTCTATTACTATTTGGAATATGCCAAATGGACACGTGGTTGCGTTCAATCAAAGGACTTAAAAGTTCAACAAAGACTCTCAAGAGCATATTGATTATTACAAGGCGTTTAATGAAAGGACTTACGGAAGTTTAAACAAAGAGAATGAGGGTGATTAATTTTTGTTTAATGAAACAAAGCTTTCAATGCTTCCAACCATCATTTTATGATGCTCCTTTTTGTATGCATATGGTAATTAATAATCAAAAAAGCTTTCGAAGGTGTTGTTGAAAAAATGGTGGGAGATCTGATATTGGCCCTACCATGTTAGGAGCACATGCACGTCCCGTTCTTCGCGGACCATTTTATTCAAGCGTCATTTTCAGAAAAATAAATAAATATATATATTCTTTGCTGTGGATGTTGAGGAAAGAAAACTAATAAGCAATTACAACAAACTTGGATAATGACTTATAGATAAATAAATAAATCTCCTAGTGGTTAGTAATATCAGTCATGGGGATGCATTAATTATGGATTATTTTTATTTTTATTTTCTTATAAATAGAAGCTATTTTGACTATTGCATGGTGCAGAAATTTTATAAGAAAGTGCTCACCAATAACATGTGCAGTTCAGGTTTATTGAAATTAAAAATGGCATAATAAATGTACATTCTTGCCTAGTGGCTAATCATACAAATCAACAAGGTCATTGTTATCTAATTGAGATGAAAACGGATTCTCTCGTGTCTTAATTAATATAATTAAGTTCTGTGAAAGAATTTAAATTTTTTGTAAACAAATCAATAATTATTATTTTCTTACTTTCTATCTTAATGTGTTTTCTCTTATATGCTTCACTATAGTTAGTTTCTTGGTTGGAAAAATTAGTTGAGGCTTTTCTAATGTATATAGATCTAACAATTGTGTACGAAATCTTTATAACATAGACGTGGTTGTAAATATATAATATGTGAAGAGGAAACCTCTTAAAAGTAAAAAGAAATTGATGGATAGTAAGAACAAAAGGACAATGGAGATCAGCAACTGTTCAGGATATCAAATCTTTTGGTTCGATTGTGACAATTCTTTAGTAGGACACGAATAAACGTCACTTTTAACTCACCGTAAGAACATCTTTTCACGAAGCCTGCAAATTTGTCTTCTTATCGGTTGAAATAATATTAGAGGAGGGTTTGATTAATTAATCACCTCCGTGATCAGATATACGAAGCAGCATTTTCTGCCCATATTCGTGAAGGATGTTTTCACCTTTTGCCTTTCTCATCAATGTCAATTCCGGGGAGTTTCCATAGATATATATAAGGGTAATATTTTTTTTATGTTATATAAATTTTTTTTTTATCTCTTATACTTATTTTTTAAATGTGTTTTATAAGAATTTTTTTTCTCATCTCAAACTCTTTTCTCTCTCCTATTTTGGATAAGAGATAATATTTTTTATATGTAATATAAGAAAATATCACCTTATATATAAAAGGGTTCTATTTCTCTAATGTTGTTGGAGATAAGTATCTTCTATCATAGACACATGATATGATGGGGCTCACCACCCATTAGAAAAAGAAAAAAAGAAAAAGTGGTGGCACAATTTTTTATGTGAGAGTAACATAAGATAGTTACCTCATGTAAAATGAGACAATGATTTCTCATATATAAAAGCTAAAGATAAAGAGCCAATGTAATTTTCGTGCTCCGATTTTCGGTGCAAGATTACCACAAACTAGAAGAGTAGAAGGCAACATCGAGAGAGCATACCAAAACTTGTGTCAGTTTTTGATAGAGAGCCGGAAAGCTTGTGTCCACAAAGCAAAAGACCAAAAGCGAAAACAATAAAGTCCCTTGCCTATGCATTTATGACCATTCAACATCCTACCTATTTTTTAAAAATCGAGTCTATATATGCTCAAAAAGGGGAAGATAATAATGACAACAATGAAATTGAAATGGAGAGAAGAATTCTTGTTCATGCTTGAAAGATCAAACAAGGGAAATTCAAAGAATCCTCTGTAGGGAGTGGCTGAATTACACTAGAAATGAGATCCACATAAAGGGGATGTGGATTAAATCCATATATTGTTTGTCTAGGGACCATATGAAGGTGCCCTCCACAAGGTTTGTCCCCTAGTCCCACTGGGGCAACATGCAAAACCAAGAATATGTATTGAACTTGAACCATTAGCAAACAGGGATTTGAGGGGTCACTTTCCAGTGGTAGGTAACTGCAATGGTCATATGTGGAAGGTATATAGACAGTCTTTCAAAGAGGTAGTTTCTTGCTTTGTTCAAACTGCAAACTCAAACATGTTCCAGACCCTACCATGTGCATTTAAATGGGGTGCTGGGGGCTGTAGCCTAGTAGGCCATCCATAACCAAGCGTGATTAATTGGTTACAAGTTTGGTGCCCATGTGTCCGTTGAAATGATATGTCACACAGGGTTAATAAGATATTAGAATTCGATGTGGAGCTTACTGCTCTGGATTATATTAGTTGTTCAAGAGGTCAGCTAGGTAGAGGTTGTTGTGAAGTTGAAATTAGGTGTTGGGTGTGGAAACGACCTTCACCGTCCACAATGGAAAAGATGAAGTAGAGGTGCACTGTTTTTCCTGACTGGTATGTTAGTGAACTTAACGAAACTGCTTATTAGGATAGTCATTAACTGGGTTAAAACTCAAAAGTGATTCCTGGACAAACTCTACCCGGTCAATTCTTTGGCAATTTTAGCAAGAAGACCAAGTGACTAGAAGGCAACTCCGAAAATTAGCTTTGAACCAAGTGGTTTAACCATCACCTGCGGTTCTATTCTACCACAAACATCCCATTTGATCATTTGTCATTTAGGACTCCTAAGTTGTTGTTCTTTTTTCTTTTGACATACAAAGGTTGAACCAATGAGTCAGAACTCCACTTAATCTTTACTTTATATCATATACAAGCGGTCAATCAGGATTTAGACTTTTAGTTTTGGTATCAGGCATTTTTTCCACAAGTCACTTTTTTTTCTTCTACAAAATAAAATTAAGAAGATAGTTTTACCAATCTAAAATCTTTAGCATAAGTGATTAGAGGATTATATCCCTCATGTTGTAGGAACCATTTTGTTGTCATGTTAAAAAAAGGACAAGGCATATATAGTACTAAAAATAGTGATGGGGCACTTTATTCAATAAATTGGTTTGTCTTTTTCTTAAGATGATACTTTTTTTGATTTCTACAACATAATGAATACATTTCCCAAGTGATTATTAAGTTCAGAGATATATATCATGCTCATTTCGGTTGTGCTTGACAATGTTTTTAAAAACAGTTTTTTTATTTTAGTTTGTAGTCTGAGAAACAGAAGTACTTAGAAATTGTCTCATAAAACTGATTTATTCTTCTTTTCCAGAGAATGTAGCTGTAGCCCAGAGGAAAAAAGAATGAAATGAAAAAATTTGACTTTGAAAAAATCAAAATCTTCAACCTCTTTCCTGCAATCTTATCGGCAAATATGACACAGAAAATGCCTGAGCTGGTGAAAATTAAAATGAAAAAAGAAGGACAGAGACAATATAAAGGATAAAGAAGGGAAGGGAAGGGACCGCAACCATATGGCTGCCATTTATTTCCCGCCTAATACTCGAGACCAACTAGTAAGATATGTGGACATTTGAGGCGCTCATTTAAATGGCTTCTTTAACACTGACAGGAGAGTTAACCAACAAAACATGTCTACCTTTCGATTTCACAAAAATAAAAAAACACGATGGTCCATCCATGGCATACCATGTCCATATGTGTCAACTGTTGCAATTGAAATTAATGACAAAATGGTTCTTTGTGCAATAAGGTAGAAAATGAGAACTGGCACCAACACCTGCTAGTCTGTGCCAAGTGCAAAAACGTGTACACACAGAAACGGTTATTGAATAGAAGGTGCAAATAAGTACAAATTCTCACAGCAATAAAATAATATGTAAAAAGAACCAGACTGGATAATATAACTTGATAAAACCTCTCGCATTTTGATCTCTATAAATTAATTCAAGTCTAACAAAAAAGAAAAGAAAAAGGAGCTACCTGAACAAGCAACCAAAATATATGAAATTTAATCAAATACAGAATTGAATAGAATAACAAAAAATCAATACCTTTAGGTCTCACTCATGTCAGTCTATGAACAATCCAGTAAGCAGGGTGATGACATGTAGGTCAGTCAAATTTGCATCAAAAGCCATTGTTGATTTTATTAACAGGAATGGAGGGACCATCAGGTATCAGAACATGAGAAACCCTGTGTCCTATGTCCAGCCCCCGAAATTGGCCAATAGAATCATTTGACAACATTTCTGACAAATCGTATGGAGTGGCTAGATCAAACGGAGGCCGATTTTGAGTAGACACATTAGATGAAAGTGAATGCAACTGTGACATTTGTATGGCCTGAAGTTCACCTGGCCCATGTTGTGGCTGATATGAGAAGAACGAAGCTTGAGAATATGGAAGTTGATGCATTCCCAAACCAAAGGTATCAGCATGAGTTACTATCTCTCCAGTAGCAATCTTGAGCCTATCAACTTCTTTCTTCAGGGCTTCATTTAGAGCTGTACATTTTGTTTTAGACAGGAGCGGTGAAGTCATGCAAATGAGTTGTAAATAACAGTATATTAGCTGAAAGTTTAACATAACAGACACACTACAAGTAGGTTATTGATCATGAGAAGGTCCAAAAACACTTCTTTTTCTTGAATGATGCAGTCTAACAATCTCAAAGTAATATTTAAAAGGGATCAAAAGTTGAAGACAATTTCCAATAACTTCTTAGAAAATAATAATTCCACTCATACTGATGTAAAAACCAGCAAAAATTCTTAGTATCAATTTAAGTGAAGCCAAAGAATAACTTGTATATCAAGTAACAAGTGGAAACAGGGACATTATAATGTGCACATTTTCTTTGTATGGCTGAGACATACCATCACATAACTTAGCTTGTTGCTCCATGGCTTGTAACCGAAGCTTCAACTCCGTATTTTCAGTAGTCAGACCAGATGTATCTCGCTGAAAAAGATGTTTCTGAATGAATAAGTCTCAGGTAGCATAGTATGAAAGTTCCTCATTACATATAAGGAATTTAACAAATTGCAACAAAGTACAATTAAAGGAAACAAAAGCATCTTCATCTAAAGATGAATAAATAACCACAAGAATCAATAGCAAGCCAACAAAGACAAGAAGAGGGGAAAAAAGCAAATAAAGGGGTATCTGATACGGACCTTCAACCCAAATATAGATCAATAACAGTAAACCAAGTGTTTTTGGCCTGAATAATCAGGTTTTTCATATATTGATGAAATTCAAATGACAATTACATGGACTATGACAATTAACTGAGACAATTTAACAATAAAAGGAACAATTACAAAATCTGGAAATGCTTAACAGTAAAGGATAATTCTAGAGGAATTCTAGAGCCGCTAGTCTCTCCCAAATCACCCTAAGGTGCCCAAGTTCCAAATGCCCAAAGATCCCTCTCCTCACTTTCCTGCTGCCTTTTAACCATCTCCCCTCTCTCTTTGCCACCTCATCCATTCTAACAGAATTGGAGCCTTCCAACAACCTCACCTCTAGAATATTCCCTTTATGAGCTGAGTCATCCTTCCCAAATAATTCTCTGTGGCAATTCTTAGGATAAATCATTAGTGGGGTCCTATCAGTATCTATTCCTGAAATTGACAAGGCAACCTGTCCAAACTTTAAATACAGCGGATAAAATTACATGACCATCATGTCGCAAAGAGAACAACACAGAACAATACATCTGCAAGAATGACATAGAACAATTTATCTAAAAGCCTTGTGTTTCAATATGGAAAAAAAGAAAAAAATTCATGTCTGTCTACGGGAGTGGATCCTCTCATGCAGAGGCGGATCTAGGTTCAGGAGAAGGGGGGCAAGTGCCCACCCTTGAAATATGATGCAAAATTACAAAAAGGGTTACTACCAATCAATTTCACCGTTAGATCGATTATGTTGATCCAACGGTTATATTTATTTTCATTTTTGTATGGTTATGATTTCCCATATTTAATACTTTATATTTATTTTCACCTTTGTGTGGTTATGATTTTTCATATTTAATGCTTTTACATTAAATATGGGGATCATAACCATACAAAGATAGAAATAAATATAACCGTTGGATCAACATAATCTATCTAACGGTGAAATTGATTGGTAGTAACCCTAGTTGGTTGTTACGATATCTTACCCCTTTAATTTCCCTCCTATTTTATTTTCCCGTGAGTTCTTTTTTCTCCTCCATCTTCATTATCCAAACCTAACAGCAGAGAGCTCTATTCCAGACCCATCGTTTGCATCTACATACTGATTCATCTCCTCTCAAACCTCAATCTCCGTTATTGAAAGTTGGAACATTTGCTTCTTCCTCCATCATAGGTCTAGTTGAGTCACAATCCGTCCAAATCTAGATCTCAACCAGACCCGGCCGGCAGCTGCTCGCAAGTTGCGTTTCAGACCAAATCCAAATCTATATGTACTTGAATTTATTGAATGCCCACCCTTCATTAATTTTCTGGATCCGCCACTGCTCTCCTGTCACATTATCTCAAGTGAGAGAATCTCAATCGTCTACAAATCAACGGTTCTCCTTTCATCACTTTTTATCCTAACACACTCTCATGTCATATTTGATTTGTCTATAGATGACTGAGATTCTCTTACATAAGGTCATGTGAGAGGAGAGGATCAATTCCCCTGTGTCTATATATATATACATATATATATATATATATATATATATATACAAATACATATATATATATATATATAACACTCCTTGACATTCTCTTTGTAATACTCTTTCTATTATTAGGTGAAATCCCAAGAGAGTAAGCCTAGGGCCCACATGGAATTTTGCCCGGTAATACTGTTGAATAAAAGTAACAACAAAGAGTGTAATGCTAGCATTCTACACACACACATATGGACAGGACCAATTTACACTCGTGTAAGTATTACACGGCTATTGATCTTATTTATATCTGAAGGCTTTAATTTATTAGTTATGTTTCGTTAATTTGAGCCATTAGATAAACACACATCCTATGCAAGTCATTCTTCTGTGCATAACAATATTTACATTTTCAAAATACAACAAACATCAGTGAATAAACAAGAGGAAGACCAAGAAAAGTACATCTGTCACTAGAAATAACTATATTAGGTGTAATGCAGCTAATAAGATTTGTCCAACGTAGTTATTTATCAATCAAGCAAGACAATTTTCAAATTTCAATAAGAACCTGGAAAAGATTTAATTGAGCTGAAAGGGTAGTTGCTTCTGTTTGAAGAGTTTGAATTTTTCTCTCAAGCTCCAACACATAACAAGCTTTCCTCTCTTTTGAGCGCGCGGCAGATTGGCGGTTGGCCAGAATCCTGCATCAAATGCACGATTTGAGAAAACCTCCTTTAAGTAACAAATCGCTATGGACAAATTATGAACAGAGTAGTGAAAATTGCATTGTACATTGTGGCTCAGGCAAGGAGAGAAAACCGATTTCCGTTTAGGAAAAGCGAAAATGGAAATTCTATTATTCAAAAGCGAATCCGAAATTCCAAAAATAAGGAAAAAGGTGAAGTGAATGTGAATCTACCTCTTGGCTCGCTTGGGATCAACGGTCCACAATTCAGCGAGCTTATCAGGGGACATGGCCTTCTTAGCCTCAATGCCCTCAGACAATAACGAAGAAGACGCATCGGCCGAATTGCTGCGGCGGTGACCGGGCCTACCGGTTTTGCTGCTCTCTGCGGTGGCGGAGGGTGGCGGCGATTGGAGTTTGGATCCGGATTTGTCGGAATCAACGTAAGCGGAGAAGAGGTCGTCGTTCGGGGCGGGATCTTGGAAATGGAGGGGAGGGGCATCGAAGGGATCGAGTTCGAGGTCGAAGTCATCGGGGATCCGGAAATGGACCTCCGATTGAGATCGCCGGTGATACGGCAACGACATCGTTTTTTCGGGGAAAGAGGAGAGTGACCGCGTTGTTCCGATCCGGTCACTGCTCCTTTTCCCTTTTCACACTTCCCCTTGTTGCGGTGCTTGTCTTCTATAAAGGCAAACCTTTACCTTGTCGTTTCTCGGGGTTGTCAAGTACGTATACTCAGCTACGTACACGATAGTAATAATAATAGGGGAAAACATTTGTACTTTTTAAATTATTTTATATTTAATTATTGATTTTCATAAATTAGCGGTTAGAATTTATTGAATTTATTATAAATTATAAATTAATTAATAAATTTAATTTAACAAATCTTAATTATTGATTGAGAAAAATTAATGATTAGATTCGAAAATAAAATAAATTTTGAAGGGAAAAATATTTTTCCAATAATCTAATTACTGCGGTTTTCATTTGTTCTTTTTTCACGCATTTTTTTGTTGTGCAACTGAGTTTGTCTGTGTTACTTTGTTATTAATGCTGCATATCGATCCTAGGTACCAGGTAGTCTCTTTTCTTCTATTTATTTATTATTATTATTATTTTTGGAAGGTAGTACCTTTTCTTTTCTTTTTTTAGTTTTCAAGCTGTTCATTATAAGGATTATATTTAGTTCGAGTATTTATTATATTCTATTAAAGAAGACAACTTTTTCAATTGTTTTTTTTTTTTGTTAAATTACATAAAACCACCCTAAACTTTAAGTGTTTTTTAAAAGACTACCTTCCACTTCTAATTAAAACAATTCACCACCTTATACTTCAACATTTCATCAATTAGACATATTTTATAAATTTAAGACAAAAATATCCATGTCTTCAACCTGCTATTAGATAATGTATTATCAACCTTATCACAAGTGCTCCACAACAAAAACTAAACGAAACAAAAATGGATAATTTTTAAAAAATTAATAATCCTTCTTCGTAGTCCATAGTCTACTAACATCTTGCTCGTTAATTAACGAAGATGCAAAGCATCAGATCATGAGCGAGTTTATTTTATAATGAAAAAACAGAAAAAGGACGTTGCGTTGAAGATGTTGCATTTCGATAAGTAATATATCTTGGAAAGTAACATGGACGACAAAGAATCTTCTATTTATTTCTAAGGATTTTCTACGAAAAATGAAGGATGCGATGCAGACAAGAAAAAATACAACCTATTATTTTCTCGAGAGACAAATATTTATTTATGAATAAGTCCTTCTAATTTGCGTGATATATAAATCGCTGACTAGAAATCAGTTTAGTAAAAGAGTAGCAATGGCTAGTAGCAAATTGATAGCAAAGGATATTTTTGTCATAAAATTATTGAATATGTTTAATTGATTTAATGTTGAAGTATAAGAGGGTTTATTGATTCAATTCAAAATATAAGGTGATTTTTTGAAAACACATATAAGTTTGAGGTGGTTCTATATAATTTAGCCTTTTTTTTCATTCTTATTCTTATGACTTGAACTCAAAATCTGTAATTAAGACAGTCAGACTCCTTTCCATTATTGCCAAAAGTGTTTCTACTATGAGTATGACAGATATTTCATTATATTTTTAGGACTACACCAACATATTTGAAACTATAACTCTAGAGAACTCTTTTTTTTAAAGGTACATGAAAGTATTAACTTCTGTTGTCAGCATCTGCAACTCCAAAATTAGACTGTTAACATGAATGTAGAAAAGTGTCTTAGGGGACGTTTGATTCAGGAAATTTTTTTGGAATAGTAGAGAAATATAATAGATAGAGAAATGATTGAAAGATAGATAAAGTGAAATAGGTAGAAAAATGTAAAAAAAAGTTGTTTGGTGGGGAAAAACTTTACTGAGAAAATTATGTAACTTTATGAAATCAACAGTGCATTAAAAGCTAGATAACCGTTTTTCCGAAAAATCCTACCTTCAAATTGGGTTTCTAAACAGTGCGGATATCTATGTTTCTCATAAATCCAGACAAATTGGATAGATGGGTTTTTGGTGAAAATACGTTGAAACAAACATGGTGTTTCTAAAAGCCATACTTCAGAAACATAGATATCCGTTGAAAAGTTCCTAACCAAACACCACCTTAAAATTTATTTTTAAAGTGAGTGAATACGTAAATATTTTATTATATTTTATTATCATATATATATATATATATATATATATATATATATATATATTACAGTCTCGTACTTTTTTTTTCACTTTACAAATAATATTGTTTGAAGTGAATCTTATTTAATTGCAATAATTTCATAAAATGAGTATTTTTTTTATAGGTAAAAGTTTAGATTATGAAAAGGCACACCTCGTGCAAAATATAACCAAATTATCAAAGTTATGATTGGATTACACATATAACCTATTAAGATATGTACCCACCCTCAATTTTAGTATATAAAACTTCATGAACTTTTCTTAAAGTTTTACTAATGTGATTAATTTGACATCAATTTGTTCTTTTAAAATGTTTGTATTAATTTAATCCTTGAGATCAAAATGGTTCTTCAATTACGTTCCGCGTGACATTCAAATGAACCATTTTGATTTATTTAAAATCTTTAATAAATTAATTTAATGTCAAAATCTTTAAAAAAAATTGATGTAAAGTAAATTTTTAAAAGACAAAATATAAGTTTAGTCTTTGTATCTTCATCATTTTAGGCAAAATTCTTTTAAAGTAAACTCATTTATAGAGTAAGAAAAAATACATTCATTCTTAATTTAATTTAAAATATAAATTATTTTAACTCACTACATTTTTCAAAAAATATATACATTTAACTAATTTTTTTTATATAAACAAACTTTTCCCTCATCGTTCAATATCACTCTTCATAAAATTTTCAGGTAATTTAACATAACATTACTAGATGCGTTATATTCATAATTACCAATTGGGTTGTGTAACATTAAAGGTTGGAATAGATTAAACAATTTGTCAAGATCTTATGGCCTCACTTGAATTAGGTCTAGTTTGGTCTATTTACTAAATACTAACTTAGCTATATTAAGACCCCTTTTTTTTTGAAAAAAAAAAATATTTTAAAAACACTATATTAAGTCTTTTTAAAAACACTTATTTTCCTAATAAGACTATAGTCTAGGCCTATGTAGCACCAATACCGACACGGGACACGTGGCACGACACGACATTCCGACACGTTAATTCTAAAAAATATTAGATTTTGACACGTTAAGATACGTTTCGATATTAAATAATATTTGTAATTTATGTAGTGTATATTATATTTAATATTCAATAATTAACAAAAAATGAAACTAAACTTATAATATTCATCAATTTTGCAAAGAAACATAAGATATCTCAAATATTTATATTAAACTCAATAAAATGGTAATCATAATCCAACGAATCTAATAGTTGGAACTAAAAACTCAACCCAACGCAACCTTTGAACATTTTTTTGCATTTCTATAACGCGGATGGAAGTGTCGGAGTCGGAGAGTGTCGGACACGACACGTCAGAATTTTTGAATTGTCGGTGCTTCATAGGTGTAGGCCATCCAAGGATTTTTTCATTCTATCTATTCATTGAATAAGTGATGATCCAGCGGTTCTACCTTTTAAACTCGATGATGACAATTTGTTTTAGTAAATAAATATTATTATTATAATATTAAACTTTTATTGTTATTGTTATTAAACTTTAACTAGAATATTTTGAAAATGTATATTTGTTGGCCTATTTTATTACTTAGACTTGCTAAGTTATTCAGGTGAAAATTTATTGCTCTATTTAAAGGCCTCACTGCAAATTAGGACTTTAAACAGGCTTTTTATTATTATTATTGAAACAGGCTTTTAGATAATGCCAGGTTTTTCAAAACGGTTAAGTTGTAATCCCTTTTATCTTACCTATAAATAATAAATTTATTTTTATTTTTATTCGATTCATGAGTTATTGATAATTAAGTTTTATACATTTTTTTTAAAAAATTGACCGTATAAAATAATTAAAATTTAATTATTTTCTAAATAGAAAAAGGTAAATACTCCAACAATATAGTTTGAGTATAATTGAATTGGTTTCGTGGAGAGAAGAAATAACTATTTAAAATTAGTATGAAAGTTTTTAGAAGATAGATAACCTTTTTATTGAAACTCGAAAAATAATACAATTCGACATTTCATCATATATATAAAAAATAAAATAAAAAAATCTCATGTGTCATGTGTGATGCATGGAATATATTTTATAATGTTATATATTATTATAAAAGAGTTCTCTATAAAATAGAAGAGATGAAGCTAATTATTTACAAATTTAAGAATTGAAAGAAAATAGAGTGAAGAAAAATAAATAAATTATTTACAAATTTAAGAATTGAGAGAGAATAGAGTGAAGAAAAATAAATTGAGACTCGAAAATTTTAGAGAAAACTGCAGATGAAGAATGAGAAAAGGAAGATAAATTAAAAAAAAAGGAGATTTCAAGAAAACAAAAGTGAAGGTGAAGATATCCATGGCATACGTTTCTCTGTTTTTTTTTTTCACATTTTTTTAAATGTGACCGGTTTTATTTCTCATTATTATTATTTGTGAAGGATCATACACTTTAAAAATGTGTATTTCATCACTGTTTAACGTATGCATAAAAATTTCTCTTCTCTTTTGTATATAAAAAAAACGTATGCATAAATTTGAGTTTAATTTATGGAAAAATATTTATCCTTTTAAAGGATGATATTTTTGTTAAGATAGTGTTTTTTATTTAAAAATTAAATTAAAAAAATCACTCACTTCTTCCCATATGATTTTCATTGTATATCTCTTTCTCTCACTTAAAATTTTTTAAAAGAATAAACACCAAATCCTTAATTTAATTATGAGTTTAATGTTTCTTCTCTTGCTATAGAATTCTTTTTTCTATCACAATTATGTAAAAGTAAGTGGGTTCCAATATTTTTTCCTTTAATTATAATCTTCAATGATAATATAACACAAGTAATGTTTCGGATGATAATAATCATAATATAACACAAGTAATGTTTCGGACGATGAATTTTTTTTTTAAAAAAAAAAAGACTTATTCACCCGAATTCAAAGATTATGTTTAAGAGAAATGACAAAGTTGTTCAAGGTATGACCTAGAGTAATTAAGGAAAGAACTTGATTCAATTCCCGCCACAAAAAATAATAATTAGAATCTTTATTAAAAAAAAAAAAAAAAAAAACTTCCCTAACTTGCTTTTACCTGTTGCCTATTGCCTGTTGGTGGCATATATGCGAACAGTGACCAAAATGTCATAGACAAAAAATTTACCAGACTGCTACGTCAACAGTAAATTTTGCCAAAATGTCACGTGGCATAATTCGCTGCACAGTGTAGCGAATTATGTATGCAAGTAATTCGCTACACAGTGTAGCGAAATATGCCACGTCAGAACGCAGAGAACCAAAGATGCCACATGTCAAATTTTGCAAAATTCGCTACATGGTGTAGCGAATTTTGCAAAATTTGACATGTGGCATCTTTGGTTCTGACGTGGCATATTTCTGTGTAGCGAATTACTTGCATACATAATTCGTTACACTGTGTAGCGAATTATGCCGCGTGGCATTTTGGCAAAATTTACTGTTAGTGTGGCAGTCTGGTAATTTTTTTGTCCAAACGTGACAAAATGATCACTCTCCCGGCATATATTAGGTGATCCAACTTTGGACTAAAAAATAATAGAATGATGTGGATGAGATACAAACCAAAATCCAATTAAACTGCTCGTATCAAAGTGGTGTCGGTCTTGCTTTCTGGAAAACAATATTTACCTCTTAAACACCCTCCCTCCAAAATATAAAAATCTAAAGGCCCATAGAAATATCCAAAAACCAAAGAGGGTGGAAAGCTATAATCAAAGATCGATTAAGATTGGCCCTTACTTGTAAGTTGTCAATTATTACAGAAACAATAGACAAAATGCTAAGGTTAAAGTGGCCCCAACAAGAGCACTGGGCTGAGGCTTCCATTCAAGCACAACTCATAAGTCCTAACCATGAAACCATTCCTGACGTGCACGCAAAACCAGGCATAGCTCCTTTCCTAGTGGGCCCAGGCTCCTCTTATCAGTGACAGTCTAACACCTCAGTCACTACAGGCTGCGATTATGGGCTTAAACAATTCCTATATTTTTTCTTTTTTTTTTTACTTTGATCCATGACCTAAATAGTGCAGTTGGTTAATCTTGTTTGCTTCAATTCTAATCCCTATTTCTCCCACCTAAAATAGAAAGGATTTTATTAGTCTCATGTTAAAAGAGATACGTTATCTCATGTCATAGAGATAAATTTGTGGGTTTCACCACTTGAAAAAATAAAAAAAAGAAAAGAAAAAAGTGGCACAATAGCTATTAAAGGGTGTGTAGGAGGAAAAACTTTTCTCATGTAACATGAGAATAGTTGTTCCCAAATAAAAAGGCTATTATGCTACCATGGTAGAGTTTGATTACAAAACTAAATTAATTATTGACTCGTCACTTTAAATATAAGTAATTATACTGGTATCCACAATTTATAAAATAAAATGTCTACCAACAAAGCACAACACATTTGGTAGATAGTTGAGTTCCTCAAACATGTTGACAGAAGTTCAATACTTGATCGTGTGTATGAAAAAAGTTTTGTTGAGAAATGTTTATCCACTTAATATGTCTCGTGCCTCGAAAGAAACTATCGGATACATTGGGAAACAAAAAAGAAAAGAAAAGAAAGAATGTATACATAAAATTTTGTAACATGTCTGTATGAGAGGCTACCAATTTAGTAAAAAAGTAATAATATATTATGGGTATTGGTAAGAATTTAAATCTTTTTATGTTTATTTTCTAACAAGACAGTAAATAGTATGTTATAAAAGAAAAACATATAAACACAGTGAATCTTATTATAATTATTTTTGTGTTTTTCTGTATCCTGTTCGTAATTAAGGCAGAAGAATACAAATTGGTTGGCGAACTTGTATGAAGTAAAGTCAATGGAGGAGACAGGTAACAATCTCAAAGAATGATGTGGTATCTAGTGAAAGAGTTGTGGGGTTGGGCTATGGCCCATGATGCTGAAGTCTGAACCACATCACCTCTCATGTGCCCACTCTTTTCTCTTTCTCATGACCCACACAGTACAACCTTCATTGTAAATTTGCGATACATATCCTCCTTGCCGTGATAAACATGTCACCATTGATAAAATACGACAAAGGAATTTGTATGCTTATAGCTATATATGTTGGCCTTTTTCTCAATCGTCTAACCCCTACACAGTCAGCTATTTCGTTTTGTATATAGCCCATCAAACTTGTCTTTGAGATTAACACATCCCATAACTTGGTTTAATTGTGCTAAATGATGATTGTTAAATCAGCTTAATGCCAAAGAAATATCACACACTTCCATAGGGTAGTATCATACTGTGTACTGATTTCTGTACACCTTTTTTAAGTTATTCAACTTTGGATATAATTATAAGTGCTACAATTAGCGGTATCGCTAGATCACAAGCTAAAATTGAACGTTGGTTGAGAAAAAAAGGTAAATGAAGGGGACACATTACTTCAACTTTAAATTAATGGTTGAGTGGAGGAGTGGGAGAAGGATTTGGTGCTCAGAATAAGTGCTTCTTTATATAAGCTAATTTTGATTAGGTGGGATAAGGTACCATAAACAAAATTCCTAACCGCCTTTTCTTCCCTATGCTGATTCTAAAATTAACCATCTGCATGTCCTGTCTCACAGCAATAATAAATATAAGGGGACACACCAAACAAGTTAAGAAGCTGTCTTGCTTTCATTTCGTAACATAATATCTATGTCACGGTTGCACCTGCAACTTCTAAACACTACAAGGCACTTTAATATCCACACAACATAAAAAGCTATACCTTCTTCCTTTGCGTCACAAAATTTGAGTCTATAATTTTGTGCTCTGAATAGTTAGAAGAAAAACTCTAACCATTCCTGTTGGATCAACATCACAAGCCCGGTAAGACCAATTAAAACCTTTCATAGTCATGGTTTGCATGATGGTTTTTGGCCTATGTGGAAGAAGTCTATGATTGGATTAGAGTGGAAACGCCATTAGTTACTTGAGAGCCAGAAAATTTTGTGTTTGTGCGCTTCTATAACAAAGTGGTTCCGTTGGTTTTCATCCTTCTCAGATACTATTCACCACCACCCCCCTTCTTCTATGATTCCCTCTTCCTTGTAACCAAAGAGATGTCCTTCTCTGTTTCTTGTTGGTAAAGGGTCAAGTAAAGAACAAACGCCAAAAGTTATTTCAAAACCTTTCTTGCTTGATTCCCTTCACTTCTTCTGACAAGCATAAAAAATCTTAAATCCTTACATCACAGGAAGCTAAATCCAGCTACACAAGGTTATAACAAGCCTGACATGTATCAATCCTCTCAAATTTCTCTGTGGGTCGATTTGCTACTGAAAAACCGTGGATTAGTGCATTTTCAAGCTCATTTGCCAAAGCTTTTCAAGCAGCAGGCATAGATACCTCAGCTGATATCAAAAGGGTACAAGAATCTGAGTTTTTCAGTTGGAATTATTGGTGTTTTTGAAGTATCTGACACAGAGAATCCATAATGGTTCTTCATCGCCGCCTGTTGCTTGACCCAGATTCAAGCTCAACTGCACCAGGTAACGTGAATAGAACAAGGGATTCTTTCACAGGAGACGCAAATTTTGACACCAACATGGTGATTATCTTGGCAGCTTTGCTTTGTGCACTTATATGTGCTCTTGGACTTAACTCAATTGTGCGCTGTGCTCTAAGATGTAGCCGCAGGTTGGCTTTTGAGACACCAGAGGAGGCTGCAGCTCGTGCAGCAGCAAAAGGACTAAAGAAAAGGGCATTGCATCAGATCCCTATAGCTGTTTATGGTTCAGGTACTACTAGTATTGTAGCCACAGATTGTCCAATTTGCCTTGGGGAGTTTATGGATGGTGAGAAAGTTAGAGTGCTACCAAAATGTAACCATGCATTCCATGTAAGGTGCATAGATACTTGGCTGCTCTCACATTCCTCTTGTCCTACTTGTAGACAGTCTTTGCTTGAGCAACCAACAATTTTTGAAGCCGCAACCGCAGCTGCAGGAACCTCGAACCATGTAGAGAATGCCTTAGGATGACATGAACATGGTCCTTTAGTTGTAGCTGTGGATGAGGTTGGCTAATTGTAAATTGCAATCTTAACCCTCCACCTTGAGAATTCACCAAAAAAGGGAAAGCGTGAATAAATTGAGACTAGTTGTTTGTAGTCTTGGATTAGGAACCTTTTGTGTATATGGTGCACTTCTGTGATTGTATCAAGAATTGTATATATGGAGCTTGAATGATGGTTTCTGAGAGACCATTCTGTGTTTGTGCAAGTTTTTCTGACATGAGATATAGTGCTAGATCTTGAAGTTTGTTGTCTGTAAATAGATTGAAAGGCAAGTGATGGTCAACTAGTTGAATACTTACTTGGATGGCATTTTGTATCCAGAAAATTGAAAGTCTTGTTAATGAATGACTACTTAAAACATAAAACTATTCAAAACCTAGCTCAGTTTTTTCCTTTTTCTACATTACTTCACTAAAGCCCTTCCTTATCATCTGAATTGAGCTCAAGTGGATTTTAGAAGTAATTAATGCAATAAGACTCTCAAGTAGATATTACATATTTTGTTCATGATCAGCATTTGGATTTTAGAACTAACTAAATATATCACACAGAATCAGAATGGCATGTGACTTGGCAATCAATGTCAGAAGAACGACAATCTGATATCCCATGAAAGAGAATCTATTTGCTCTGCATGAGAAAGCCGACACTGATGCTCTATCTGATGCTCCTTTCCCCCTCCATGTGGGTAGCATATTCTTCTTTGAATGGAAATCCACATGGTCAAAAATATTACAATCGAAACTAACCTTAATTACTAGAGAGATAAACCAAGTCCTGAATAAGCACCTCAAAAAGAAAGAGTTGGAAATCTGATTCCAAAACTAAAACAGGAATTAGTCAATAAGCAATAAGCATAAAAGCATAAGTGAGAAATTACTATCATTCCACTTGGAAGGCATGTGTCAGACTCTCTAGTCAATTATTATTCAAAGTGTTTGCAGAGATTGATAGTTGTTTCAGCTTCGAAAGTTACTTTACATTCCATACTTGAAAAGCAAACCTCTCAGTTCATTTCACTTCACTTATGTAGTCAAGCTTGCATGCACCAATATTATTAGAAGTACAAAATCCATTTCATGAAACACGATTCAGGAGCATGACCATAAAAATGTTGTCATGGTGACACCATCAATACAACTGGAAATTTGAAACCCCATATTTATTCTTTTATAGTACTCTTGTCAATCAAGCAAAGCTTAATTCAGACCAATTCCCAAATGTAAATCTTCTTTAGTATTCACTAGAGATTGCTGAAAAGTTTCACTAGATGAGTACTAGATATATTGCGGTCAAGTTCTATGGTTTTAATTTGTTGGATTTCAAGGTGGGTAATTTGCAAAAAAAATAGAAATTAATCAATGTGAGCTTTATTAGAGCAGAGGCAGAGCGTCGAATTGAAAGGCCTTCTCCACCGAATACTCGGACTCAATTTGAAATCACTTGTTAGGTTGGAACAATCTCATCCATGTGTTTGGTGATGGCTTAATTCATTTATAATCCTAACTTATGTTATAAATTTTATCAAAGCACAAACCGACTCAAGTATCTTCATTTACTAGCTTAATTTTTTTTCATAGCGTGGTATAGATTATCTATTATCAATACATTTGGCTTCCACCCTAAAAAGATTTTACACGAGGAGATATGTCATGAGGGCTCTCTCTCTTTCTTTTTTCTTTTTGGTAAACTAAGGGCTCTTTGACTAGTTAGGGATTTTTTCCAATTAAATGTATTAATTTAGGATCTGTTCGAGGGACAATACTGTTTGGGTCTTTGAGTGCAGCGGGGACCTAGCAACTCTAAATGACACCTCCAGAGCCCCGCGGCACTTATGTAAATTTATTTATTTTTTTTTTTCTAAACCCAGTGTTGCCCCCTCCCCCAACGACACTCATTATATTATTTGTTTTATTTCTTAAGTGCCCCCCTCCCTCCAAATGGCACTCATTTAAATTTCTTTTTTTAAGTGTCGCCCCCTTGGGGAACTTAGACAGCATGCTAAGTGGCACAATCTTAGCCGTCCGAGCGCCACATGATAACTCTTTGGTTTTTACCTTCGCGTTTCTCTATTTCATTCTCATTTTTATTCATTTTTGTAGCAAAATTTCAGATCTATTTCATCCTTCTATCTCCGTTTTTTCTTTTTTTCATTTGTAGCATTCTCTTTTCCTTTGCTTTTTATCATTTGCAGCATACGGTCGCAGTAAAGTGAAGCTCTTCCAAAACAGAGCAACCCTATAAAATACACTCAGGCAAGTTAACATCATTTTTTTAGTAATTAATTAAAATCATTTAATTTTTTTAATTATTTTAGATATTTGACATAATATTTAATCACTAGTTTTTCTACTAACACAAGCATGTGCAATAAATTATATTTATATATTTGTCATAATAATTAGTCATTCATAAGTAGTGTTTAATATTTTAATAATGTAATTTAGAATAATTAATTTGTAAATATTTAGGGTTTATTTTAATTAGAAATAGTTGTTATAATTTTTCAAATTAATTATTTTTTTTATCCTAATAACATAGGCATGTATAATTAATAATATATAGAGATTTTGCAAAATAATTAATTTTTTATGTTCATGTGTAATTAATTATATTTACATATTTGACATAATAATTAGTAATTGATGAGTAGTGTTTAGTATTTTAATAATGTAATTTAGAATAATTAATTTGTTACCAATATTTAGGGTTTCTTTTATTTAGTAATAGTTTTTATAATTTTAAATTAATTCTTTTGTGTTATCCTAATAACATAGGCATGTATAATTAATAATATATAGAGATTTTACATAATAATTAATTTTTTATGTTCATTTTAATTAATTATCTTTAGATATTTGTCATAATAATTAGTCATTGATGAGTAGTATTTAGTATTTAGAATAATTTATTTGGTTTATCCCATTTCTAATTTTCGTAAAACATCTTATTGTCTAATGTTTTTATCGTTTTCTTCTAGATATGGGGTCAAGTTATGCAATCATATATTACAATAGTAGAATACATGAAAGTGCTACAGGATGGACATTTAAGGGGAAAACCAAAGGACTACTAATACAATGCGGGGTGGGATTGCATGATTTAAAATCAACGATTACGGAGAAATTGAAGCTCGGTACCAATCAATCTGTGTCTCGGTTAATCGGCCGGTATCATACAATACAAAAATTTGACGTGCTAGAAATTGTTGATGATGTTGATGTTGATATGATGTTCAATTTGTTTCTACAACAGTCTCTTCAACAACAGTCTGCAATGACGATGCATGAGTTGTCTGCCGACATTGCTTGTGCAGGTAGTTCTTTATTGTTAGTTGAGTCATTGGATGTAAATTTTCCACATTCTGATGCTCCATCACATCGCTGGCAGAATACAACTGTGGAAGAGGAAGATGGTGCAACTCATGTGGATATTGATTTGGGTGCCTCTGATGAAGATGTATATAAAGGAGTTCCTCTTGAGGGTAGTGACTTTGATGAAGATGTAAATGAAGAAGTTCCTCCTGAGGATAGTGACTCTGATTGTGATGCAGACACCGATAATGTCAAAAATGTCATCCCAACTGGTTAGTTATTTAACCTTTTGATTATTTTATTTTACATGTTATATTCATGTGTTACTTGAATGTGATAGAGTGTTAGTATGTGTAGGTCAATCTAATACTCCATTATGAAATGCGAGTCCGCACTATATTTACATTAATTGGGAACACCCAAATCAAGAACAAATTGTTGATGGAGGGAATGATGGTTCTTGGCAAATGAGGGATGAATTATATGTTAATCAAGAATTTGAAAGTAAGGAAGCGGTACAGAAGGCAATCAAATGTTATTGTATGAAGAATTATCACACTGCTTTTGTGGAGGAAAGCAAAAAAAATAAGCTTCTTATGAAAAATGTTAATCATGCTGAAGGATGTCCTTGGAGGGTGCGAGCAATGTTACCGAGATGGCGAGATCGATGGATTGTTACTAGATGGGGAGGCAAACACACTTGTGTGAACCTTTATCTTTCACAAGATCACAGATAACTCGATTCTGACTTCTTTTGTTCATGTATTCTAGGTATGACTACTAAAAATATATGTTTTTATGTAAAAAAAATAATGATGGTATAATGTACTTGTACTTAACGGTTGTATTCCATAATTTTTTTATCAGGCATGGTTCAGGTGGATCTGTCAATTAGCATTGCACTTATTCATGAGAGAATATCTGGACTTAATGGTTATAAGGTATCCTATCGAAAAGCCTGGAAGGCCAAACAAAAAGCCATAGTAAAGTTGTTTGGTGATTGGGAAGATTTATATGCTTATCTGGAAAGATGGTTAAAGTACATGTTGTTGTTTACTCGAGGTTCATTTTACAGGATTGATCGACTTCCATACATTATGGACAGTGAGTTAGATGACTCTCGTGATATGTTTCATCGTGTTTTTTGGACATTCAAACAATGCAATAATGTCTTCAAATATTGTAAACCTATGATACAAATTGATGGCACTCATCTCTATGAAAAATATAAAGGGACGATGTTGATTGCAACCACACAAGACGGTAATAGTCAAATGCTTCCGCTTGCTTTTACTATTGTAGAATCTGATACACTTAGTGATTGATCGTGGTTTCTACGAAAGCTACGTCATCATGTGACTGATATGCAATGTATATATCTTATATCAGACCGTCATATAAGCATAAAACAAGCAGTAGCAAATAATAAATATCACATAATAGACATAAGAATCAAACATGACATGTCAGATTAACATACCTTGCACTAATAGATGTGCTATCGTCAAACTCTAGGAGAGGTGGAATAGTCTCTAGAGCGATGGTAAAAAATCTAGCTCAAGCCCACATCTGCAAAACTACTAATGCATCGGATATTTCAATCTGATCAGGTGAGGTGGCTACGCACAACTCCCGATAAAGGAAGGCCAACACTGCCGATCCCCAGCTAAATCATCCACACACCTCCAAGTCACTAAGAAAAGGTAGATATCGGAGATGCACCTTACCACCACTGTGATCCACAAGTAAAAAGCCTCTGATAAGGGGTAATATGTATGCTCGCGTGAATTGGAGAAGATTCTCTTCATCCTCCATCCATTCTTCAACATTTGCTAAATTTCCTCCCAACCATGAAGTCTTAAGAGTACCACCCTTAAAATTAGATGCACTCGGGGTCCTCCCAAGCAGTTGTGGTACTAAAGCTCTCAACTCTCGTGTTTCAGACATGCAAGTAACATGTTCACCGTCTATAGGAAGACCTGTGATCATTGCAACATCCTCGAGTGTTATAGTAATCTCCCCCGGAAGCATATGAAATGTATGGGTCTCTAGTCTGCATCGCTTAACTAGAGCTGTGACTAATGCACTATCAATATGCAAACCCTAAAATATTAATCAAAACAAAAAAATTATTTTGTTTGATAACTTTTTTTATAATTTAATATATGTAGCATATAAAATACCTCTATACGGCCCATCCGAGCAGGGCTAAGAAAATCGGCACATCGTAAATAAGGTACAATGGGCTCTGGAATAACATCCAACCCCGCCAGTCCTCCACTTCTAACTGTCAGAGATTTATAATCTCGTTCCTCCATCCAGACAACCTCTGATCGATGTCTAGATTGCATGAATAATTCCATAAGGGGATTGGGCGGCACTTAAATTTTTTTTTTTTTACTTAATGAGTGCTGTTGGGGGAAGGAGGCGGCATGGGGTTCGGAAAAAAAAAAATTCAAATGAGTGCCGCGTGGGGATGGGAGGGAGATTTAGAGTCGCTCCCCCTGGGGGTGACTTAAAGACCCCAAATGATATTTTCTCTCAATCGGATACCAAATTGGTACATTTAAATGGGAAAACCCCCCAACTGGTCAAAGAGTCATATTATGAGAATATATGAGTTTTTATACCATCTAAGTACAAATGAAAAAAAAATTGTGCATAGGGGATATGTGGAAATAAAATTACCGATGTAGTATACCACTTTCCAGGTGTCATCCAATCCCGACTTTTCCTATTGTGAGTTATAAAGATAAGAGTAAAATTCAAAAACAACCTCTATGATTTCTCCTACGAGCCATTTGGAAGAAGGAAATTTTTTATATTTCCGGGAAGTTTACGTTGAAAATCTTAGTTACCCATATTTGGTACAAATTTTTTAAAATTTTTATGGGAAAATGAGATTCCTGAAAATTAAAATTGTGAATAAGAATCTCATAAAATAATACCACGAGGTGAGTGGTACTCTTGGATTCCACCTAGTGTGAAATTTTTACATAATTTATACGGCATAAATAACTCTACTTTAATATTTTCATGACTAAAATATCCTTTATTGTTAAAGCCCTAGCTTATTCTGCTTCACAAAATCATGGGTTCCTCTCTTCCCTTTCACGACATCTTTTTATTGGGTTCTTTCTTCTTCACTCTAGTGACCCCAACACCGCATTTTGACCCTTTGTGGCCTATCCGATTTTATTTTTAAAAAATTCATCAAAGATTAGTTTTGTAAAATCAGCTTATATTCCCAAGAATCATTGACAATTAATTAAATATAGAATCAGGAAACTTAGCCAACATTCCTGGGAATATTGTGGCCTATCAAACAACTTTTTGGTAACATTCTTGAAAAATTCACTTTCCCATCATATTCCTAAAAATCGTTATTCCCAAGAACAAATTTTTTTTTCCTCTATCAAACGACACTTACTCTCTTATGGTTATTTTTTTTATCATTTACTCCCTATGGTTTTTAAAAATTAAATTAAATTGTCCATCTGACCCTTGTAAAAAGAATCATTGTAAAAATAAGAATTTTATACTGAAATATTTTCTTCATCCAACTCTAATTGTTTTCTAAAGTTTATACCAAACTGTCAATTTTTTTTTTTTTCATTCCAACGATGTTGAGAGAAAAATTACAATGAAAGCTGCAAGTTAACCATTAATTTTGATATTCTAATAAAATAATATTCACGTCATTGTTAGCAAGAATGAATGTTTAACTTAGAATTATTATTTTTCTTCTTACAAATTTATATATCTTTAATAAAATTAACTTGTCTTGAGTTTGATAAATGTATTATTATCTTAAATTTAATAAATAAAATTAAAGACTATTTAAGAAATCAATTTATATGTAAATATATTTTTTCTTTGGGTTCAAAGATTAAAATGAAAAAAATGTGAGCCAGTGATAGGTAATAACAAAATTAAAAATGTTGAAAAAAAAATACTAATATACTAATGTTGAAAAAATATCTTGATTGAGTTCTCCTATCGAGTTGGGTAACACAGTGCTATAGTGGTAGAATTGTGAGGTATTTTGAAGGGTATCCAAATAGTTTGGGAGGGCAAATCGAGATGGTAATCATCAAAAGTGACTCAAACACTGCAATCACATGGCTCACCTCAAGGGTGGGCTAGTCTATGAGTCGTATCTTGTTACTCGCATATGGGCATAGTTAGACAAAAATTAGACTGTGAAGGTAAAGCACACATACAGAGAAAGGAATTATTGTGCGGGTTGGCTTTCAAATCTTCCACTGGTTAATCCGACACATGAAGATTTCTCCTCTTTCTTGGTCCTTCTGTCATTTACTTTTCGTATTTAGTTTATGGGTTCTTTTTTTCTGCAGTTAATGCATATAAGTTATCTGCAGTAAGCCTAATATGATGTCGTTTTGAGACGAAAATCATAGTGTTTTTGTAATTTTAATTCATTTCAGGGTTATTATAGTCTTTATAATTATAATTATTTAATTTTTCAATCCCAAAACGACGTCGTTTTGAGAGTAAATGCAAATAGTTTATCTGCAATAATTACAAAAATATTTTTCTCTTAGTTTATTTAGGCGGCTTTAGTACAACTGGTTGTATTTCTTCTCTTAAGACTGCTTGGGTTTTATCCCCAACCAGATATCAAAAAAAAAAAAAAAATGGTTATCAGCTTTCGGATACTTGATTCAGAAGATTCTCTACTATTAGGCCCAACAATCAAAATATACAGTTCCGAGCTTTAAGAATTTTAGCATTGTTCTGAACTAAAATTCGAAATAGGTCCAATGCAATTAGAGATGTGCATGGATCCAACCGAACTGGTTTTTTTGAAAAATCGAACTGAATTGGTTTCAATGGTTCGGTTTGGAAGTGGTTCGGTTCGGTTCGGTTTAAAACTGATTCGGTTCGGAAGTGGTTCGACTCGGTGGAAAACGGTTCGATTCGGAACCAGTTCGGGTCGACCCTCTTTTGAAAAGAAAAAAATTAAAATTTTAAAAAACAAAATTATAAAAATCAATTTGGTTCGGTTTGAAAACGGTTCGGTTCAAAATGGTTCAGTTTTTAAACTGGTTCTAAAAACCGGTTCGGATCTTAAACTGGTTCTAAAAATCGGTTCGGTTCATGAACTGGTTCTTTAAAAACCGGTTTGATTCATAAACTGGTTTTTAAAAACCGGTTATTTTAAGGAGCGGTTCGGTTCAGTTTTTTAGTTATTTTTCACACACCTAAATGCAACCACATCGAAAGCCCATCTGTAAAGCAGTAGGGATTACGTAAGGTCATATTAGTATATACTTAGGGCTCGTTTAGATAGAATCTTTTTTACTTCCAAAAAAAAAAATTCAGAAAAAAAAACCACTCCTCGCTATAATTTTATTTGGATATGTGATTTTTTTTTTAAAAACAGAAGTTATAAAAAAAAGAAAAATCTTTTTTTTAAGTTAAAAATTTTAACTTTTAAAAAAAATAGAAGTCAAATATTTTTTTCAAAAATTATTTAAAAAAAATAAAATCTAAATAACTTTAACTTTTATAAAAAACACTTGTAAAGCTAATTTTTTTTAAATGGCCATACAATAATATGGCTCTTAAAGGGATAGCTGTGTTTCTTTAGATCCAATGAACAAGGCCAGAACAAGAAAATCTATTGAAATTATAAATTTTTAGCATGTCTTAATGCTTACATATGTTTAGTGCCTGTTTGGATTCTCTTTTTTCTAAGTTAGAAGGTATTTATAAGCATAAGTTAGGCCAAATAGATTTTGGGAAAAGCTCTTATAATGAAAAGTTCTTTTTTTTTTTTTATAATGAAGAAAAAAGCTGAAAGCTAAAAGCTCTTAAGAGCAAGGAGGAGCTTTTTTTTAAACTCTTATATTCTTTTCTTGAATTGTGTGCTTTTTTTATAATGAAGAGTTATAAAGATAGAGAAAGAGATAATTTTCTTGAAATATGTGCTTTTAAGTAACTTTTAATCTAAAAATTTTATGTGATTACCAAACAATTTTTAACTTTTCTTTTTAAGTTTTGTTTTTTTAATTTTAACTGATAAGTAACTTTTAACTGAGGATAGAAACAGACTAATAAGCCAACGGTCTACTCCAGTATTAAAATGCCTATTGCTTATATTGTACATATAATGAGGGAACACTTTATTTATAGAAATCTGATGAGTGAAAGCAAAACCGAAAGAAAAGACAAATCATTGGCCAAGCTAGCAATTAGGTAAGGGAGACTAACTTTACCCATATATAGTCTTTTTCCTCTCCCTGTTTGATTTGAAGGGCACTTTGAGTACAAGAGCATATAAAACACCAAATAATCATGATTGTTCGTCTGTTCGTAGAATAGAATCTCTTCATCTCCTCTAATACTCTTCAAGGACTTCTTAGGCCCACATTTTGAACATTAAAAAAAATTCTTTCCAGCACTACCTGTTGATAATGATTTCAACCAAGTAATGAGAATTGAGGGTAGCCTGCAGCTTGAAATTGACATTTTTTAAGGCATTATTCAAAAGTGGACCACTCACCACGGTTTCTCTCCCTTCCCTTTCGAACATGTGGTGATGACTCTTTTTTTTTTTTTTTTTTACCATATTCTTTTTCCTTAAATTTGAAGATTATGGAGAAGGGTTTTATTCGGAAAAAATGCAGCGTCAATGGAAAGAATTTGGTGCTGGTGAAGGAAAACCAAATTCCTACACTTAAGTTCCCGGATGAATCTCTTTTTCCTTTCTTGACCGAATCGAATTTTCGGTTTGCTTGCTTTCCTTTATATCCCTTCCTTCTATGCTTCTTGGTTTAAGTTGGGAAAGAGGGTCGTATGGCGGCCTTTTGATCTTATAATCCTTTATTAATAATTAATTATTAAATTAACTTTTATTATAAATTATTTAAAAAATTTAACCCTCTCAAAAAACATAACACCAATCTATTTCTATTTGACCATTGATCACCAAGTCTACCCGGGTACACCACTCTCTACCTGGGTATTTTTTGAAATTTTTTACTTACCCGGTAGGTAGTGATGTACCCGGTATTGTTCTTCGCACCTGGAAAATTGCTTGAATTATTTACCCGGGGTAGGAAGGAGTGTACATGGATAAATCTCCACATCTTCATCTTCGTCTTCTTCAATCTCTCTCTTAAGTGGATTTGCTTTTTTCTCACAGAAATCAGGTTGGTCTTTTCTGCTTCTCTTTTCGCTCTCTCTCAACTGCTGTTCTTAAAAATACTAATTTTGGTGTTGTTCCTGTTTTGGAGTCACCTTTGATTTTGACTGAATTGTTATTTACTTAAAAGTTTTAATTTAAATTTTTTTTTTTGGTAATGATCTTGTAAGGTAGTACGAGGTCTTTAATGGTTTCTCAAGTGGTTGAGATTCTTCTATCTTTTTTCTATTTTCAGGCCCAGATCTCGGTTTTTCCCACCCAATATTGCTGCTTCTATAAATTTTTCTAATTTGTATTAATTATTGGCTTGATAATTTCTTTCTACAACCGGTTCGTTTCCATTTTTTTATTTTTTATGTTGCTGTTTTGCTTCTCTGCTTTTGTCTTTAATGGATTCCAAAATTTGTTAAAGAAGAGAACTTGTTCTGGGTTTGCATTTGGCTAGTGCTACAGGGAATGCCTATTTTTGTATTCTGCCATAGCTTTTGGTACTTATTTGTTGTTTGTAGTTGAAGAATTACTAAGATTCATCCAAATGTACTGAACTCTGTAGTATCCCTTGGCAAAAATTCATAAACAATTGTTAGTATCCCAATTCGTAGACGAAGATGAAGATATGGAGATTTACCCGGGTACACTCCTTCCTACTTGGGTAAATAATTTAAGCAATTTCTCAAGTGCGAAGAACAATACCCGGGTACACCACTACCTACCCAGGTAGGCAAAAAATTTCAAAAAATACCCGGGTAGGGAGGGGTGTACCCGGGTAAACTTGGTGGTCAATGATCAAACAGGAGCAGATTGATGTTATGCTTTTTAAGGGGGTTAAATTTTTGAAATAGTTTGTAACGAAGATCAATTTGATAATTAATTATTAATAAAGGGTTACAAGGGTCAAAAAGCCGTCGTATGGCCTATGGTAGGATTAAGTGTGTGTTCTACTACAACTACATATGCATTAAGTAGGCCAACTATCTATGAGACTAAGTTTCCTCCGAAAAGGTAATATTTGTTGAGGGGGGATATTTTGATTACCAAAAGTGTTCACTACCACCTTACTACCTATCAAATCACTATTGGATCAAGGAGAGAGAATGTTAAAAAGTTTTTGAAGAGAGAGAAAATGTTAATCCAATGGTGATTAGATAGGTAGTAAGGTGGTAGTGGAAACTTTTAGTAGTCAAAATATCCTCCTCATATTTGTTTGGATATCTAAATTAAGATTGAAACCCTTTTTTTTTTCTTTTTGGTGCAAATGCATGGCTATCCCAGAACAAAAAGTGTCTCAAAATAGAAAATGAATGCTCAATGACACCACTGGGTTCAACTAGTGCTAACCCAATTTTAGGATTTGAATTTAACACCTGAGCGAAGAAAAGTGAAATGTTAACCATTAAGTTAGATCACATTGATTATCATATTACTTTGATTTATATATTTATTATATATTTTTATATAAAATTAATTTAAGTGGTTCAATTAATAATTCACTATTTTGATACTTTGACCGAATTAATGATCAATATGATTTCAATAACTTGGTTGCACCAGTGAAGAAAGGAGACCCGTTGAGCCATGTTACCCGATTTTTTTTTCTTTAATTAGTACAACAAGAGTACCAAACTGGTCATTCTCTTTTCTCAAAATACGAAAAATCTCATTCCATTTGAATTCAAACCTTTATTCATATTTTTCTTCAAGTCCGAATATTTTACCCCTTTTAAAAATGACGTAGGTACTTCAGGAGTACCCAAAAAACTATACACATTACCATGAGCCACCTATTATCCATAAAAAGATATTTTCTTATACCAGAGTTCAATGAAATACAAAAGTATCTTTTTATCACATCAAAGTTTAAAAATATTTATGCTAATATTAAAATTTATGAGCATTTAAATTTAAGTTAATATTAATGTAAAAAAAAAATAATAAACAAGATAGGCTTTGGTAATTTAAAAATCACAAAAATTCAATTAGTATAGTGATCAAATCTTAATTAAGGTGGCACTTGTAATCTGAAATGGTTTTGTTGATATATATATATATAAGAAAAATTATTTCTGTAGTCGCTTTACGTATAACAACGACAGGTGTATGATTATGATTTTCCACATTTAATGCTTTCATCTTTTGTATGGTTATGATTCCCCGCATTTAATTTTTTACGTATATATATATGACAAGTATTTGATTGCTGCACGTACAACAGCTGCAGAAATGTAAATCCTATATATATATATAGAGGTAGGATCTTTTGACATCAGTGTTAAATTTCAAATTCGACACCTCATCTGATAGCCGTTAGATTAAAAAAAATCAATGATGTCACATGCTTACAAATCAGAGTCATTGATCATTTTTGATCTAACGGCTCTCAGATGAGGTGTCAAATTTTAAATTTAATATTGGTGTCAAAGGATCCTATCTCATATATATAATGGTTGCCCTCTTAAAAGACAAGATTGTATCATTTTAAGAGAAAAAAAAATATACAATGGAAATCTAAGAAGAAATATTAAAATCTCGTCGATCTCATGGGAGGAAAAAGTGAGAGTATAACGCCTGACCGCTTCAAGAATCAATGACTATCCCCACATACTAACACGAGACTTTTCAGTGTGCTTTTTCATCACTCGCACACTTCCCGGGAAAACTTCCTAAGAGGTCACCCATCCCAGAATTGCTCTAAGTCAAGCACGCTTAACTGTGGAGTTTTTCCGATCCGGGCTACCAAAAAGCAGATGCATCTTGTTAGCATAGGTAGTACCAATTAATTCTTATAAGTTATCCCAAACTGTGCAGCCTTATACCTGCACAGCCTTTGGAATCCCTCTCTTTCGAGTGTCGATTCGATTCATTCATGCATGTAACCCCCCGCTGGAAGCCTGTCAAGAGCCGCTCCGTGCCTCTTTGCACCGGTGATCACTCTCCGCCCTCGTCAGTGCTCAGGATGTTACAGAGAGGTTTTTCTTTAATTTAAATTTTAAATAAAAAATATTAATTTTAACAAAAATGATCATCCTTTAAAAGGACAAACATTATTCCCTATATTATATTATAATTTTAACTCGTTAACATTTAAGGAAAATTGTATATTTTTTTAAGGGAAAAGTATTTCTCTAGTGACTGGAGATAAAGTTATCTTCAGTGAACCCAAAACGACGTCGTTTTAGAATTATAAGATTAGAAAATGATAATGATAAAGACTAATATAACCCTGTAATAAATTATGATTACAAAAATACCTTGATTTCCGCCACAAAAAAACGTCGTTTTGTGCTCACTGGAGATAACTTGTCTCCATTGACCGGAGAAATGTTTTACCCTTCTTTTAAATGATGGTATTTTTAAGAGAGAGAGAAATAGATCATTGGGAGAGAAAGAGAGAAAAAGACCCACTCTCTTCCTCCATGATTTATATCTTTCTTTCTCTTAAGGGACTGTTTGGTAGGGGGCAAAAAAAAATTAGTCAGGAAAATAAGATAGGAAAAATAATAGGCAATGTTTGGTAGGAGGATTAGAAAAAAGGTGTCTGGGAAAAAAGGTTCCGTGTTTTCATTTTGTTTTTGCAATCTTAAAGGTGATTACCTTTTTTTCCTTGTTAGTGGCAAATTCTTAACATTTTGTTGTGACTAAAATGCCCATGCATTAAAGTAAATTTATCAAATCTCAATTGGTGAGCCATTGTTTAGTGTGGAAAAAGATAATTTCAGTAAATATTTTCATTATTTTTTTACAATCAACTAAACATAAGTAAAATTAATCCAAGTTTCCTTGCAAAATTTTGGGCTACCAAACACATTTTCATTACTTACCTGACAACAAAAAATTTTCATCATATTCTCATGCAATTTTTCTTTCCGGTCAAAATTTTTTTCTCTCGTACCAAACGCTCCCTAAAAGGATATAATTTTATCCTTTAAAAAGATACACATTTTCCCGACCTTTAAAGACAAAAAAGAGTTTTTCTATTCTTTTCCACTACATATATACTCTATTCATGTTCATTTGTGAATCATTAAAAATAAAACTCTTAAGCTCCACTTATTATTGTGAATGGCTCAAATATAAGAAATATTTACGTAAATTACTAAATTAATGTGTTAGTTCTTGCTACTTGAAGAATGACCATTCATAGAGCACTCAAGAATTTGGCATGTCACAAGATTAACATTATTCAAATAAGTTAATAGCAGAAATCCGCAAATACAGTATGAAGAAAGTTCCAACTACTACAACATTGCAACACAGAACACATACCACCAAGATTACACAACACAAGTTCTCTTCACTTGGACAACTCCTCCGAGAGAGTGCTAGCCAAAGATGAAATGGTTGAGGGAGACACCGCCGCTGAGCCACCAAGGTACCATTTCTTGATGGTCTCTACCACATTGGCATTCTCTACTACAAACTTGGAGTCTTCTTTCCCCTCCAAAGATACCACAATCTGAACAACAAACACAATAATCAACCATGCTGTTAGCTAAAGTTAACTCACATATAATCAGCAATAAAGGATCAAACAAGGTAGCTGATGCTGCTACTTTACCTCAGCAGTTAGAGAATTTGCTGGGAAATGATATGTGATTACTGAATGTTTCTTGAAGTATTTAGACTGAAAAAACTCAACAACTTTTTCCAAAGCTTCTTCTTCTTCATCCTCATATTTGTCATCAGCTGCCAACCGGTCCCTCACAGCAGTCTCAATCTGAACCCCATATTGTGCTCCCTTGATCTCTTTGATCACCACAAGTCTAATAGCCTTCTCCACCGGAGCTGCACATATACACATCTCTCATTCACTATTGTTACTTACCACTTAGCATTTAGCAATATATCATTATTGTTCCATTGATACCAATTAATCAATAGATGAGTTCATATTAAAGCTTTGTCAATAGCCATACTCTCTAAGATATTGGCAAAACTTGGATTAATACAAATCACAACTTACCAGAAATGAGAGCATCAAAGAAGTCATCTTTCTCTTCGAGCTCCTTTGCAGCTTTACCTTTCCACTGCTGCAAGTGCCCTACTACTTCAGGGTCCAAATAAACCCCGATTGAGTAGAATTTCACTTGGAGAAAGTGGATCTCCATGTCGGTAATCCCTGATCAAAGAAAGAAATGAAGTTGTTTCTACTTGCTACTTGATTATAAATCAAGTCAAAGCAACTAATCCAGCAGTTTTATTGTTGTGGAACAAAAATCTAGATCTAGATCCCTTGCTGACTTTTGTTTATTACTTTAATTTTAAACTTAGATTGAAACATTAGTTCACAGGAACATCAACAAATCTAGACCTCACCTCATCTTCAAAATCAAATGAAGAAAAATAACTTGGAAGATCAACAGGTGGAGAATATAAGCAACTCACCATGACCCAGCAGAGAGAGGGGCTTGGTAGTAGTGATCTTGGAAGGATAAGAGATTTCATCAACCAATACCACTTCACTAGTCACTGAAATTAAATTCACAAAACAAACAGTTTCTCTTAGTTAATAAGCAGTTAAAATCAATAAAAAAAAAAAACAGTTAGCTATTCATTTGATTGAGAGAAAGCTCTTACTAGTTGTCTATGCGGCAGATGAAGATAGAGACAGAGAAGGAAGAGTGGGCGTGAGCAAACAATGTTTAGAGGGATTTTGACAAAAAGGGTGAGATGAAAGACTAATAAGAGTCGCTATATAAGGCTGTTTGTTTTAGACCCTTTCTTCCTCACTAGTCCGAAAACAAGGTGGGTAGGTAGAGAGTGATTTGATGCACCTGTGGGCTGTGAGTTTATCAATTGCTACCTCTCTCTAGTTTATAGTTAATGTTGGCCACTACCTAGATCCTTATCTTAACATTACACCAACCTTTCTCTTTTTACTCAAGACCAAGGAATCTCTTTAATTTTCCATTTTACAGTGGCATTTCACAACAAATAAATGATCTGTATTTTCCCCGATTATGCATTTTCTTTGCTTAGGTGGACTTCAAATGAAAAACTTAAATAAATAGCATCATGGTATGTAGGATTGAAGTTTGAATAGTAACATTCAAGAGTTATTTGACCTTATGTTGCATAACACACTCAAAGTGAAAGTCGGTTCCATATCTATTTTTTCTCTTTCCTTTTATATGTGGGTCTCACTTATAATTTATTTCTATAATATAAGATAAGACATAAGATAAATATAACTCAACATACATAATTTTGTCAAGAGTTAAAATGACGTAAATTTTAAATGGGCTTGAGTTAATGAATGTTGGCATGTATTTTCAGTCAATTTAATTGCCTTTGACTCCTCGGAATTGGCCACCCATGCGGTAGGTGGCACGAGCGCCACCGTTCATTCTACCCACCCATCAATAAAAAAGTGTATTTTATCCAGCTCGATTTTGTTGTCTTCTGTGGCTTTAGTATATGGGTTTTATTAATCTTCTTTTACATAAGATATGTATCTTATGTTGTAGAAAGAAACTAGGTGGGTTCTACCATTGCAAGAAAAAAGAAAAAAAGAAGAAAGAAAATGAGATGCAGAAATCGAAGTGAGAGAAAATGAAATAAGTTACCTCATGTAAGAGGAGACTAATATTTCCCTTAGTATATTCCTTTGTTGCTTGTTACTCGATTCAAAAATAAATTGCTCAATGAAAGCATGTTGGGTTAGTCAGAGATTGTGCAAAAGTAAAAAACTACTACTATACTTTCTTTAATCCATGTCTCATTTTTTTTATTTTTTTTGTTTACCTTCAATCCAGCAGCTATGTATCCCTGATTAAAATTTCCGAAAGATCAAAACAAAAAAGATTCAAAAACAAGGTTCTAAATTTATTAACGGCCTTACCAGCTATCTGCCCTGTCTTACCTAACTTCAAAAAACGAATTGTTGTTGAGAATGGGAAAGTGTAATGCTACTTCTAACATCTTTGTTCACGAACATTGCATGATTTTTTGTTCTTTGAAAGGCAAACAAATTACTGAAACTCCGTTTATTGACTAAACAAATGCATGTAAATACCACACCAAAAAAAAAATGCATGTAAATATATCCTAACAAATTCAGTTTTCTATGCATTCATCAACTTGTTTTTTTCCCTTGTTTAGTCAATACAGAGTTCCAACTAATTACAAAATGTTGTTTTTAGACTCGCAGTATAAGTGTTAGATGAATGCATAGTAATAAGTGTTAGATTTACATTATTTTTCCTCTTTAGATCCTGCAACCATGTACCAGCAACAACAGGGTCATACTAAATGCTTCCTGAAAGCATTCAGTTGTCTCTCTCTGGCCTCAGCATTATCCATTGCAACCGTGTGAACAGAATTGCAATCCAGTCTGAATAGTAGCACCACCATGATGACTAGCCTCGCCCTCTCCATCCGATGCTCTACATGAAGAGTATGTGGAGATGGAATGTGTCGAGGTGGTGGGGGTTGGTTCCTCACTCTGCCATCCCTCATGGTTCTCAACTCAGCCATCATCTAGTCATCAAAAGTTGATTGGTAGCAATTACATCTTGATTTGTCTTCATTAAAATCTCATTAGCTTGCCTATTAGTAGCCAACTCCTGCTGCACTCCAGCCAAAGCAATAGCTATAGGATCAGGCTGTCCTGATATGGCCCCAACATTACTTCGGGGTCTCACCAAAGCAGCTAAGGTAGGATCTTTATGATCGTCATCCGTTGTCGGAGGTCTCCTAGGAGGAACCATGACTGTGCACATATTACACAAAGGAATGAGTTGATCAGGTTCACACTAAGTGATTTCACATGCATTATCATAGTAAAACCTAAAAGCCACTCGTAAACAACACAATTATTGCAATACATCAAGGAATTCCCTTTTTAAAACGGCTCTGATACCATAAAATGTAACGTCCCTTCTGCAGCCGGTTAATTAGCATTCATATGATATTTAGCGCAGCAAATTTTAAACTTAATAAATGTGGAAGCTAATTGATTAACTTTTTCCTTTTCCTTATGAATTATAGTTTTTATCGCTTTCTTGTTCAAAATAAAACGGGGAGCATTTTGTCTGTATTTTGGACCACATGGGATAATTCCCACCATGATAATTTCAACCTGATTGACAGTTTAATATAATACAGGAATAAATCATATTACCCAGCCGTCTATGACATAGGTTATCCCATACATAACAGGTCTCAAAATAATGTCCCTAGAGCTACATACATGATTACATCAACCAACCAAAAGAGGTGTAATTAAATAAGTAATATAGACATATGCAGACATAACTAAAAAAATAGATAAACTATCAATATGACATAGACATCTCCTATGCCCATCAAAAGAATACATGACATGTACATCTCAAAAGAATAATATCATGTCATGTACAAAATGAAATAGCAGTCATAATCCTGACTATCAAGTCAGATAATATCTCTCCTCCGCCCTATTACCTCGCGATGCCTCAGCAGCATCAGCTCTTGTCCCTGAAATGGTAATCCCCATAACGTGGGGTAAGATAATATAATTACCTCAGTAAGCTAGGGACCCTTGGAGAGCTCCTTCACCCCTAAGCTCACTTATGGTATAACCACAGTATAAAATCCATGCATGCATTAGAATATGTATATCAATACAGTGTGCAGATAATAAATCCTACTGCTAGAGAATAAAACATATATGCATTATGCAAGGTAACTTGTCTTGTAACATACTCGTACTCCTGTATTACGCATAAGGTAATTCCTCTTATGTTTCACACACAATGTAACTTCTCTTGTGTGGCACACAAACATACATACATATACATGTACCATATAACAGTTCATATCCACATGCCATATGAAAGAACCACCATCCTTTGGAATTTGGTGGAACAAACGAGGGATTAACCCCAAGGACCGAAAGCTTACCTGAAATAGCTCTCAAACCTAGCCTCTTCCAAGCCAAGTAAAGTCCACGAGCCAACAAAATGCTCTATCAATAATCACAAAACCTATTTCAAGGTGAAGATTATCACAATTAATCACATATTTATTATGTAAGTCTCATGTCAAACCATTGTTGATACTTACCTTAATCCAAAATAATCAAGAGCTTTGGTCAATGTCCATAGCTTGATCTAATCCATGCTCTTACTCCACTAGTCCACTTGGTTTTACACTATAACCAATGAACACATATTCACATTTATAAACTCAACGTGATTCCTACACAAAACCAAAGTTTTTACATTTTAATATCACTTGATTTTGAGTCCAATTTATCAAAGTGTTCTAAATGGCGATTTCGTAATTTTTTCTTTTACGGGAACCAATCCCAAACATGTTTAACAAAGGGACTCACATACAAATCACCCTCTAACTACTTAAGTCATCAAATTTTCGAATTACTATTTATGTAAAACTTAAGATTCTTGAATTTCCATAATAATGAGGTTTGAGTGGGGGGAACTTACCATAATTCATCATAGAATGCTAGAGGAAGGAGACTCCAAGCTCCAATGCACTCAAAACACCCAAAATCCTAAAAATTCTTCACTAACTCGAAATGGAAGAGGTGAAAAATCTTTCTCCACAATGAACCCCAACCGAAAATAAGCTATGAGTTAGAAAGAGGAGAAGATTTGAAGTGATTTTGGCTTTGAAATCGTTCGATTTTGTTGTGTTTAGCTCAACTTATCAATTTTTGAAGTTTTGCTCTCATTTTCTTTTCCTTCCAATGGCTGCTACTATCGAAGAAGAACGAAGGAGGAGACTAAAATGTAAGATTTGTGTCTTTCTTTAGTCACTTAAGTGAGTTGTACTGTCTAAGTTGGTATAAACTTATCTATCTCACTCACTTAACTTTCTTTCTAACTTGGCACATTGATTTAGAATATTTTTGTGGTAATATTTATAATTTTACTTTCACTTTTTGGGTAACTTTATTCACCTGCATTTTTACTCCAATACTGTCATTTTTACTTTTTTCACCAAAAATGACTTTAATTCATTTTAATTAAACTTTCCATCTAATTACTCTTCAATATTTATCATAAATTCCTTAATCCATAATTAAATCCACAATTTAATATTTGGGTCATTATACAGATAGAACGCAACTAATACCAAAATTATACCATTTTTGAAAACTCAGTCAATGCCAAGGCTATACCATAATGTTTAAAGAAAATATGTATCATTTTTTAAACGAGCTAATACCAAGGCCTCAACTGATCTTAATGTGGCTCCGACACTAGTTAAGGGGTATCCAATTCCCTCTGTTTTGTGTGTGTGTGTGTGTGTGTGTGTGTGTGTGTGTTGATCATAACTTAGTAAAACATGAAAGTTATGCTTCTTACGGGGGAGGTTGGATTGTACGTCTATGCTCAGCAAATGGGCTATAGTTTTGTTATCCATAAAGAAATCCTTTCTTTTGAACATTCTTTTTTGCCATAGTGGTTATTGATCACAGAAGCCCAAAGTTCCTCATTTTCAAGGCCTCATTTCCCTAATAGCAAACGTGTTATCAAGAAAAAAAATAATTACAAACAAATTATATTTGACCGAAAACCAAAATACAAGCCTTATTTCTTTCAAAGGGCTGTTTAGAGCGCGCGTCAGAACAAAAGCATGAGACCAATATATTAAATTATTAATGAGCCCACGGACAATATGCCTTAACCAATAACCAGCAAGATTTTATCATGTTGCACGTATGTGATATTTGCTAGTCAGTTTTTAACGGTTAAATAAATTATTTGCATATGATTTAGGGGATAATGACTATTTATATTTGTGTGGAATGTATTGCAAATCGATTATGCACTAATTAATGCACTAGTTGCGCATTGGCGCCCTGAAACTCATATGTTTCACATGCTACATGGCAAAGTCACCATAAATCTTGAAGACGTTGCAGCTATACTTGGTTTGTCTTCAGACGGACAACCACTGATTGGAGTGAAGTCATGCATCAAATGTTGGGTTTCCATCCTCTACTGTAGAAGCTCAAGGGTAGTTATCTGCAGATGTCATTTTGAGATTGATACTATGGACATTGGGTTGCGCACCAAGGAGATCCTAATCAGGAGCTACTCTACACATGCACTTATCTATTACACTTCATTGGTGGATTTTTGTTGTGCGACAAGTCATCTAATAAGGTTGTCATACGACATTTGTTATTTCTGGGAGGAGATTTTGCGGGTATGACCTCCTATAGTTTGGGTGCGACAATATTAGAACATTTGTATAGGGAGATGTGTTAGGCGACCAACCTAACCCAAAAGGAAATGACTGGTTACTTGACCCTGCTATAGATATGGGCATGAGTAAGATTCCTGCCCATTACACCGATTATACCACCCGAGACCAATGCAAATGATCATTTTGGACTGGATTGACAATTCTTGAATGGTGTTATGAAATTCGTCGGCACTGCAGTTGAATTAGGATCCTCGTCTTCTTTGCTATTTGACTGATTGTTATCATGCTCAGCAGCCAAACAGGCATCCTCGTCTTCTTCTTCGTCATCATTGTTACGAACCCATGTTGGAATGTCTTCATCCTCAATAATAGCATTGCTTTGCACTGGGGAGTTACAGATGATGATTCATACATGTATAAATTATCAGTATCTGGTATTGTATTCAGATCAAGCGATCGAATCGATATTGACAAATCTTCGGCATTTTCAACATCTACGCATAACTCAACAAACTTTCTTGCACTATTCTGATCAAAACTCATTTTAGATTGTTCCACAAATATTTCTAATATAATATCAACAGCATCATCATATGTAATTGATATTGTTGTGTATTCAGCATTGCCAGCAAGAGCTCTTACAATCACTTTAGAAATAAATTGATTCCCTTGCAACCCCAAAAGTAGTATCATGTGTAATACACATCATTCTTGTCTCACCTTTAAATATTGCACCATGATGACCCATAACATTTCTACCATTATAGTACATAAGTGCATGGACTGTTTGTAAATTTGAACTCATTTTTTTTTTCGCCAATTGCTAAACAAAAGTGAATATAAAGACTGATATATGGAAGAAGGTGAAATACAAAAATGAAATAGGATATGGGAAGAAGACGGGGGTATTGAAAGAAGAGAGTTGAACTCAAAAGAAATTGAGTATTGGAAGAAGAGAATTCGAGAGTTGAACTGAAAAGAATTTTGGTATTGGAAGAAGATAGAATTCAAGAGTTGAACTAAATTCGAGAGTTGAAATGAAATTTGAGGTTTTAACGTTCGGGGTTGGTGTATATATTGACACTGAACGCACAACATGGAGTACCGCGTTTAGATGTGCATTGTCCGTAACCACGAATTTTTCAATGAAGCGCTGCTTTGTGTACTGTGTTCTGGTTTGTCCTGCCATGAGCCTAGAGATTGACGTTGTGATTGCAGATCTTACAAATGTTGGGAGAGAGCCTGGCATTGCAATTGCAAATTGTGCACTTGTTGGCTGTGATCACCGAGTCTGGTGTTCTCAGTCATAGTTAAATTCAATGAAAGCACCACTTATGGGAGAATAGAGAAAAATGATAGAGGATGGGAAAATACTTATAATTAATTCTTCGTACTATTTCCATTGAGGCCTACAAGACTATTTATTAAACTACAAGTTTCAATTTCAAAACACAATGCTACTATTACAATTAACCAAAGTAATTAAAACTCATGTCTAAATAGTCTTTAGGTCACCGCCTTCGTAGCCCAAAACACGGTCTTCAAAATTGGCTGAATTCTTGGTCCTCCTTTTGTCCAGAAGGCCATTATATGTCGTGCATGATTACTTATTGGGCCATTATCTAAATGCTGACCCAATACATAACCCATGGTGCCACAACTCTTGGTCTATTGTTATTATGTAACTCACATTAATTTACATAAGAAAAATAATTGAGCAGTTCAGCTTTTATATAGACTGACTAATATTCCATTGGTTTAAAAATATTATTTTTTAAGATTGAAAAGTCATTAGATTATTTTTATGAGAAGGGATTATTAATATATTTAGCTATATTATTCCATATTTAAATATTAACAATATTTTATCTTCATTAATTCTGTCTATCGTTTCATTTAGGAGAAATACTAATAGTTAAGGACAACATTAAAAATATTTAAAATATAATTTTAGTCTCTATACTTGACATTTATTTTTAATTTAGTTCATATACATATAATTATTTCTATTCAGTCCCTGTTATTTTATTATTACGACAGTAAAATGAAACGAAATCTATTCTTTAAAACAACGAAGGAACGTACGTGATAGGGAACTGCATCGTGCAATTGATGCAATCTAAAATTTATTTATTCTTGTGATTACATCTTTCGAGTACACAAATTTTAATTTATTACTCTATCAATATCACTGACCTACTGCTTATAACTGTTGTGATTATAAATTATATAAATAATAAGGTAACTGCGAAAACTTAACAAATAATTGGACTGGCTTAGTTAATTATTATTGTTATTATTATTATTATTATTATTATTATTATTTTTTTGGGGGGGGGGGGGGGGGGGGGGGGGGGGGGGGGGGGGGGGGGGGGGGGTTGGAAGTTGTTAATTTAATTTACAATTTATTTGCTCAAACCATATTTTGTTTTTTCAAAAATCTAAATCATTCCACTTTATCAAAAAATTGGAAACCAAAACGAATTGATCAATTTGAGATTATTTAGTTGCGTTAATTTGGATTTTAGACTCATTTGAATTTTTCGACTGCCTTATATTTTAGAAATCATTGAGGCAGTTTATATCACACAATTAACTTACTAGTTATATATTGATTTTTATTCAATTAGCTAATTATAAAATCACCGACAATTGCCACAATTTGAAATATGCAATTCAAAAAGAACTAGAGGTGATGAGGTTAAGGTCCAATGGTGATACATTTGGTATTTTACTTTTAAAGTAATTGAAATAATTTGATTTTAACAGTATGATTTATTTTTTATAAACTGTAAAGATCTTCATCTGTTATCTGTTGTTTAGATAGTGGGATTACTCTTGATTCCTTGATAGATAGATACGCAGATGCCATTCTAGAATAGTTATCTATATATTTTGAACTCTTGTTATTTTATTTTTTTGAAATATCGCTTTAAAAAAAAGAATAGATGAGAACTTGATTTAAAAATTAGTCAAGATAATATTGTTTAGAGTAAACATCTTTTTGGTCCCTGGCAATATCTAAGAAATCTTTTTTAGTCCCTGGCAATAAAAAAAGACCAAATTGGTCCTAAAATTATGAAAAAAGGGTCACATTAGTCCTTATGTCAACTCCTCCGTCACTAACGTGGCCCTTTTTGCATACTGTTAGGGACCAATTTGGTCCTTTTTTATTGCCAGGGACTAATAAAGATTTCATAGATATTGCCAGGACCACGAAGATTCCGTCAAATGAGCTACTACGTTATAATAGTGTAATTTAAAAACTAGTTGTTGACGTCAGGAAGAAACAGTATAATCAACAGTAACATGTATCCGGGTAAACAAGTACATAAAAAATCTCTCCGAGGCAGTTAGTTGGATCCTGTTTCGCAATGATTGTGTAGTCCACGTGCACAAACAATAATTTTACCGTCCGCATTTTAAAAACCGCGAAAATGCTGACATGGATATTATTTAATCTGACGTGTCATCCACTTTGCACTCTATTGGCCAAGCTTTGCGCGAAGCGAATGCTCCCTGTGTGCCAGCCTTCGCAATCCATGCACTTTTCGCGTGCAACCTCGTGTAATTCTCGTATTCGTTTCTTTACGTCACACGCTGAACCCGCCGACAATCACCTACATCACCCTCTTCCTACTCCTTCACATCGATCTCATCCTCACCGTTCATTTCAATCTCATCCACTCAAAAGATAATCATAACCCGTTCGTTTCACTTTTAAAAGCGTGTAACACATTTTATAACATACTCACCCGCACAGAAACAAACCCGTTTATTGGTGTTTCGTAGCAATTTCAAACATTAGCCTAAATAAAAACGATAGGAATGTGAGTTTTTGATTTGTAAACAGTGGTTGGTGGGTTTGTTTAAAGACAAAGGCAACTAGGAAACCGAGTCAGAGTCCAAATCACCATTGAATCATGACCCTTCATTTGATAATTATTCGCATTACACTATTTATCCTTTAATTTTGAACGCGTACACACTACTAAAACAGAATCATCCCATCCTCTCTATCTATCTCTACTCTGCTTTTAATTCTTCTTCTTGTTTATCATCCTTTCAAACCCTAATCTTCACAAAACCAAAAGAAAACGCGTTTCGGTTTTTAGGTTTTCTCATTCTGAGTGTTCTTCCACGGTTCCTTCACCAGCCATCCTCGCAGAAGCAGATGGCGTCGTCTCTGGGCATTGCTTACGGCGGAAGCAACCGTGTCTCCGTCAAATACGGAATCCCGAAGCGGTGCAGTCTCACCCTTGCACCACCGTCCTCCGTCGGGTTCGGCGATCGTGTCGGTTATTCGGTGAGGAAGGGGAGGATCTCTGCCGTCGCAGCCGCCGCGGCGACGGCGAAGGTAATGGAGAAGCGGATGAGCTTGGAATCGTACGGGAAGCGCGAGGGAGGATCGAACGACGCCGTTGAAGCGCAGGAGAGGCTCGACAATTGGATGAGGGCTTCGGTGTCTGAGATTGTCAAGAATTTGAAGGACGCGCCGCTTCTGGTGCAGGTTTATCCCAAGAGCGAAACGGCGACGCTTGCGACGGAGAAGAAGGTTGTGGTGGAGGATTGGCCTGCGGTGAAGGAGAGGTGGGAGTCAGGGGAGACGCCGTTGCCGGAGGGGGTTATATTCGTGGAGGAATTGGGCGGAGATGAGACGGAGAACGACGGCGAACAGCGAGGGAGGGAGGAGAGAACGACGAGGGCGTGGGGGATCGTGGTTCAGGGTAAGGGTGTCGGGTGCGACCCGGTTTGTTATTTGTTGAAGACGAGCAGGGTCGGGTCGGGTCAGGGTCATGGAATGGGTATTTGTTCGACCCATTTTTGCTTGGTGAAAGTGAAAAACTTCAGGGAAACTGTGCAGTCGCAGCTGAAGAATTGTTGGCTCTTACAGAGTCAGTGGCGGTGATTGTACATTTTTTAAATAAATTTTTTTCACAGTTATTGCAATTATAGCAAAGCTGTGGATTTGTACAGAACGATTACTTTTAGCTAAGTGGATAATCAAACTGTGAAATAGATCTCATTAAGCATTATTTTGAAAGCGACCCGTTCCTATTGGATTTTCTTTAATTGAATTATTTGTTGCTTTTATTTAATCATTTGGCTTATCAAAATTAAGAATTCCAATTCATGATCGAATACATGTTGAATATTATGTAGATGAGTGATCATATTGTGAAATAGAAAGGCTACCAATTTCTAGGGCATGTTTACTTTTATTAAATGTTTGTTGTTTATGTTTAATCCTTTGGCTAATCCCCAAGTATGAGAACATATTTAGGATTAGCTGTTGTTCTCCCAATTAATGGCGGTTTTGACGATTGTTTGCTGATGTTAGTTTTGCTTCTGTTTAAGTCTGGATCTCCAGTGTCACTAATCAATTTTTGTTGTAGAGACATAAAACACAATACGTAGGAATAACCGAATAACCATGATCAATTATATTTAAAACAAATTGTTCGGTCTATCTCGATGATGTTATCTATTATTCATTTTCAAACATTATGCTATATTATTAATTAATTAGGGCGTCAACCTGCACAAAGGTTGCTGTTATTCTGGGTTTTGCTTTTGCATAAAACTCCGCACTCGTCTTATATTTCAGGAGGTAGGATCCTTTGATACCGGTGTCAAATTTGAAGTTTGACATCTCATCTGAGAACCGTTAGATCAAAAAAGATCAATGGTGTCACATGCTTACAAATCAGAGTCGTTGATTTTTTTTGATTTAATGGCTCTCAGATGAGATGTCAAACTTCAAATTTGACACCGGTGTCAAAGGATCCTTCCTCATATTTCAGATATATCTACTTAAAGCAAGCTTTTAATATGAAGGAGGCAAGTTCTACAATTCAAAAAATTGACTCACTTGACTTCCTATTCACAACAACTGCATAGTTTGTTTTCATTTTTGAGGAAATAAAATTTATATTTTACTTAAAAAACGAAATTAAACTAAATTTTTATATTTTAAAGCCTAAACTCAGTACAAAAACAAAATATTGGAGTTTATTTGAAAATTAAAAACTCGAGGGATATAGCTAATTCACCCTCGATTTTAATTGGAAGCCTCCAAGGAGACAAATTATGAAGCATATAGTCATACAGATTACGAAAGTTACTTCTGAATCCATATTCTCGTTTGTTTAGCCTGTAGCTTTTATATCATTTTATTTAGAAGTATTTTTTTATAAAAGTTAAAGTTATTTAGATTTTTAAAAAAATATTTAATTTTTGAAAAAAAAATATTTGACTTAAGGGGTGTATTGGATTGAGATTTCAAAGGATTTTAATGGATTATTTTTGGACAAAAAAATCTATTAGGATTTTAATGGATTGAAAAAGTGTAATGTGGTATTCGATTAGGATTTTAAAAGATTATTTATAAATAGAATTTGTCTCTCTCACGATCTCACCATAACCTCTAGGATTTCTTGATATTTCTCTTTTGCAATGTTTTCTTTTTCCTTTGGCAGGTTGAGCCGCTCAAAATCGGGTTACGCCATGGGGAGCTTCGTCAAAACTCAAAAATAGCATATTTTTGAGCAATTTTCATCACAAAATATTCAAGAAATAACAAATCAGCGAGATTTTAATATAATCTATCTCAAAACAACATATTTTTTGAGCCATTTTTGAGAAATTTTTGAAGTTTAAAAAATAATTTTTCGAGCTATGGGTCGCGATTTTTCTTGACACAAAAGGTGTGATTTTTGTATTAAAAATAACATAAAACAATGAAAAATAACAGCGGAACTAAAACCCTCAAGCAAATTTTCGCTTTACATCAATGAAACAATATTAATTTAAAGAAAGATTGAAATTTTCAAAATATGAACCATATATTTCGTAACAATACATTCATGAACAAAATCTCTTCATTTTAGAAAATGATTTCAAATAACTTTTGTGTCAATAGATAACTAAAAACTTGTTTTTCAAAAGCCGCAAAGCAATTTAAGGTTTCAATGTATCGATTGAAAAAAAATTGAGAAATTTTCTAAACTTTCATGTAATAAAACCCAGAAATTCAGATTCAAATTTTCTTTAGAATATTTATTGAAAATATGCATATAATATATGTTTATAAAACTCTCATCACGTAGGACAAAAATCTCCAAGGTTTTCAAGATCAATTGCAAAAAATTCCAAACGATATTTTATCATGAACTTTAGGTTCTATATGCAAATTTAAAATTATTTTAATAATAAAAAATTGGGTCTTATAATCATATATGCATAGCTTTGATACCAAATGAAGAAGATAATTTTCAATCCATTGATCAAACTCAAGAGCATGAACGAGAAAATGTCAATGCATGGAAGACTAGTATAACTTTAGATATATGAAGAGCCTTAGTAATTCTGAATGTTTATTAAAAATTATATTATGTTTTACTGATTGAGAAAATTATATTAAGTTTTATTTTTTTTATTAATTTCATTGCATTTCTTTGTTATTTTTATTATTATCTCTTGTAATTTTGAGTGTTTGTTAAAAATTAATATGATTTTTTAAAATTTTATAAATCTATATTGTCCTTTCAAATTTTATAAATTCTATTAAAATCCTTTAAAATCTAATTTTATGAAATTTTGATTGTAAAAAACGTCTTTAATGTCATCAAATTTTAAATAGTTTTTTAAAATCTATAAGATTTTTTTATCTCAAAAAAGCAGTGTTATTAAACCCGACCCGGTCGGGGTACTGGGTTACTGGGTCACTGCTCGGACCGGTTGACCCAGATATATATAGATATATAAAAATATGAAAATATGAATTCAATTATATTCTCCATATCTAAAATGAATTACTCAATGTTCATTAAATAAACTCAAAAATAAGAAGCATGAATAAATAAAAATGAATACTATTACTATGTCAATTTAAATTGCAACTCAGTATCCCCATAAACATACCTCTCAATGACATTGAACTCATATTTTTCAAATTCAACTACATTAAAATGACATATATATATATCGCATTCTCTTAATTTATTATTTCGCAAATTGCTTCAGTATTAGAAGCTAAAATTTGAGGTCATTGTAGAAGAGTATACTAGCAAATAAAATTACAAAAAATTTTAAAATGAGTTCTACATATTTTTTTAACAAGATGAAACAATTTTGGTTTTTTTTTTTTTTTAAATACATGACCCGACCGGGTCACTGGGTCACCGGGTTTGATCGGTTTTATCCGGGTTTTGACCGGGTCGATGCATGACCGGTTCAATGCTTAACCCGAACTGGTCCGATGACCGGTTCGCCGGGTACCGGGTCGACCCGGCCGGGTCGGGCCGAGTTTTACAACTATGCAAAAAAGTCTTTTAAAATCCTAATCTAATATAGCTTTTACAGTGAGAAGTGTTTTTTTTTTTTCGTAAAAAAAAAAACAGATTTTGGAAAGAAAAAAAAACTTATCCAAACGGATTCCAAATAGTGCTTCTGCAATTACTTGTTAACTTATTAATTAAATTAATAGTTAATACAATAGTGCGACACAATGTTGTCAAACTCGAGTTTTTACGTAGAAACGAAAAGGGGTGGTAGAAACGTAAAACGTAGAAACGACATGAAACGTAAAGTTTCTACTTTCTACCACTTAAGGTCAAGATACAAAATTATATATATGCATGTAAAAAAAATATCACATAATGAACATGTGTTTGAGTCACTTATCTATCTAAAAAGGAAAATTATTTTTCATAACCAAGTATCAAAATTATAAATAGTGATAATTAACAAATAACGAATAACCAATATGCTCTAACTGCTTTATACACTCTGCAGATTTTGGATCATCGCTCATCAGGATATAATTCCACTTCTTTCAATGCACACAATGATCCAAAAACACAAAACGATTCTCATAGCATAACTTATAATAGAATTGCAGCTTTATAAGGCAATTATAAAAAACATATATCCAAACAAAAAGATATTAAGATACTGTGAATATGATTTGGGGAAAATATGAAAATTAGTTTTTTTTTAAAAAAAATTTTGTAAATCTTTTTTTTTATTAAATTTTTAGTTTTAAGTAAAAACGGTCAAAACGGTTACGCGACGTTTCTACCAATTTTTACCAATGACAGTTTTTACTTGAGTTTTAATACGCACCATTTTAGTAAAAACGTAAAAACGTAAGTTTTTACGTTTTTACACTAATTTTTGACAACAATGGTGCGACATACATAAAGATATTCCCTCACAGACTACATAAGGATTTTTTATTTTTTATTTTTTTGTAAATAAAGAGGGGCTAAGCCCCAACATAAGGATTTTAATCATCACCATTCATCTTCTTTTTTCTTTCATCCCGTGTACGAGAATTTGTGTAAACTATAACTTCCTTAGTTAACATTTCCTAGGGTAGGAAGTTAACTAAAAGTATGGCTGAAAAAATTATTTTCCCATCATTTTTTTTCTTCATAAAATAGTTATGGAAGATTATTATTGACGGGGTTGAATTGTTTTTTTTCATGTGATGAAAAAATTAACACATAACATCAGTAAAATTAACTCAATATTTTCAAAAAGAAATTAGCCTACCAAACACTTTTTAGTAACTTACATGGAAAAAAAATTGCTCATCACATTCCTGAAAATTATTTTTTTCCGATAAAAAAATTCTAATTTGATAAACACCTCCTTAATATTTACTGACGCCTGTTGGAACGAGGGATAAGAAGTTTGAAAATAAGCATGGAAGTAATTTTGTCCCTTTAAAGTAAGTTCATTCAGATATACTCAATCAGTAGATTTTACACCATATATTTTAATCTAAAAAAATTAAAATATTAAATTTATATGTCTTTTCTACTTGTATCGTATTTACTTTATCCATCGTGAACTAATCTGAGACTCTATTATTTACTGTTCACACATATTTTTAACAAGTATAAAAAAACACGTGTCTGAATAATGATATTCAAAATACAAAAATATCAGGTTACCGTATCAACACTCTAATCACAATTATAAATTTCATAGGATTTTTTTTTAATTTTTTGTGTGACTCGCCATGAAGCGTAAATATAAAGTTCGAGAAGGCTTAATGCAAATCTCTTCCCTGCTGGCTCAATTTCGAGCAGGGAAGGGGCACCGAAACAAAAGCCAAGTGCCAAGCGGCTCGGTTTGTACTATGTAGTCTGTACCCAAACTCCATCTCCTCGGCCTCTGTCCTGCGAACAGAACCGCGTCGTCCTCATTTTTGCATTAACGAAAGAGAAATCATATTCTCATTTTGTATAAGATTGATTTTTCATGTTGCACTAATATAAAAAAATGTGACTCTGTTTTTTTTTTAAAAAAAAAAAATTAGTCACACGACAAAATTTTTGGCTTTTTCACCCTTTTGTCCTTCATTAATTATTTAATAATCATTTTACTCCTTATTCAGAACTATCTACCAATCTGCCCCCTCTTTAATCGATTAAGCAAAAAATTTAATCGATTAAATGATCAAAATAGGCAAAAATCGTTGACTTAAAGATTTAGTCGATTAAATCTCCCTATTTAATCGATTAAATCTCTCATGCATAAGGTTGTTCTTCTGATAAAGAGGAAGATTTAATCGATTAAGTTGAAGATTTAATCGATTAAATATTCATTTGACCATTTAATCGATTAAATATTCAATTTAATCGATTAAAGGGTGGCAGATTGGTAGATAGTTTGCAATAAGGGGCAAAATGATTATTAAATAATTAATGAGGGGCAAAATGGTGAAAAAACCGAAAATTTCTCTCCTAATACATAAGAGAAATAATTCTCCAACAAGGGTAAAAATTATATTTATAAATTTTTTGTTTAGAAATTATATTATATATTTACGGATAATATATACTATTTAAGAGTATGTAATATTTGTAATATATAATAAATTTTATAAAAATTTATAAAGAAAAAAATTTGTAAATATATTGTAACCCTAAAAACAAATACATAATGTACTTGCCTTGACAATTAATCCGACAACCTAACAACCTTTCAACGGCAGTGCACCAACCTTCAAACGTTATTTTAATATACTTCTATTACCATCCAATGCAGAAACTGAAGATCATACTCACGTGACTTGAAATAGCTGATAGTTATGTTAGTTATTAACTATTAGTTGTTAGTTATTGTTAGTTAGTTGGTCACTGTATTCTTTTACTTACTGCACTCTATATAAAGTCAGTCCTGTAATACTTCTTCTTCAATGAGAAATAGATGAATTTTTACTCTCAAGATGAGAATATCAGAAGTTAAGATGGTATCAGAGCTGTAAATGCTCTGGTATTCATTCTTGATCCTTTCTTTCTTTCCGCTGCATTGCTCTTTTTTATCTTTCTTGAACTTTCCAGAATTTTTCTTTCTCTTTCTTTCTACAATGGCAAATCACAATTATGCTGCAGATTTTCTTACAAATCCTGGAAACCTGTATTATCTTCATCCCAGTGCAAATCCTGCATTAGTGCTCGTACCTTCATCATTGACTGGAAACAATTATCATACATGGGCAAGAGGAATGTCCATGGCATTGCGCTCAAAGAATAAGTTGGGCTTTGTTGATAGAAGCATAGTGATTCCAGAAGAAAATGATCCCCTTTTTCCAGCATGGCAAAGATGTAACATAATGGTTTTAGCATGGCTTCATCGATCCATTTCAGATGTGATAGCCCAATCAGTTCTTTGGTTGGATAAAGCCTCTGATGTCTGGTCGAATTTGTGAAAAAGGTACTTTCAATCTGATGTTTTTTGAATTTCAGACTTGCAAGAAGACATTTATCGTCTTCAGCAAGGAGAAAAACCAGTTACAGAATTTTTTACTCAAATAAAAACTATGTGGGATGAGCTTGAGAGTTTGAAACCTCTTCCAACTTGCACTTGTGGAGCTGTACAACAAGTGAAAACTGATTGTGAACGTGATCTTGTTATACGTTTCTTGAAGGGATTAAATGACCAATATGCAGGTGTTCGGTCAAACATTATGATGCTTGATCCATTTCCTGATATTGATAAGGCCTTTTCTTTAGTTGTACAACAAGAAAGGCAATTCAATACAGGAGTATCATTTGAAAATGCATCTACTGTTCGAGCCTTCAATAATTTTTCAAACCAATCCAATTATCGAAGTTCTTTAAACAGAGGCAGAGGACAATTCAATGGAGGTAGAGGTTCAGGAAGAGGAATCAGATCACAAAAGATTTGTACTCATTGTGGAAAAAGCAACCACACTATTGAAACATGTTACCAATTACATGGCTTCCCTCATGGTTACAAGAGCAAAGGGCAAGCCAATCACATATCACATGAATCTGTTCATGAATTTGATGATGAGTTTGAAGCAAATAATAGTGTGCACCATCATGATGAACCACAACAGATGGATCTTGCATTGATACAAGAACAGTATCAAAAGATTCTTGGTCTTCTTCAGCAGAATGGTAAGAGCACAAATGACATAGCTACATCTTCCAATAATTTTGTTAAAGCATCCTCTGTGGCCAACATAGACTCTTCGAACAAGCAAATAAACCCAACAGGTAACAATTCCTATCAATGGATATTAGATAGTGGTGCTACTGACCATATCAGTTCCATTCGATCTTATTTCAAAAATTTATCAAAAATCCATCCCATTTCTATATCATTACTAAATGGATCAAATGTATATGCTCATTATTCTGGTACCATTTTTTTATCTCCTCAACTCATACTCAAAGAAGTTCTCTTTGTCCCTGAATTCCAAGTCAATTTGATTTCAATTACAAAGTTAGTCAAAACCATTTCTTGTTCACTAACCTTTACTGATAATTGTTGTTTGATATACCAGAATATTACCAAGATGATGATTGGTACAGCTAAGCAAAGTGGTGGATTGTTCATCCTTGACATACCAGCCCAAGCCTTAAATACAAAAGTTTCTGATACTTCCAAAGTTTCTGATGATGCAATGCTTTGGCACATGCGACTTGGCCATACTTCCCATTCTAGCATGAAACTTGTATCTTCCCTTTTTCCTTTTATTTCCTTTACAGATGTATCCCCTTGTGACATTTGTTACTTAGCAAAACAAAGGAAATTACCTCATTTTTCCAGTGAAAATAAAACCAGTGCAATTTTCCAAATACTACATGCAGATATTTGGGGACCCTATTCAAATACTTCTATACATGCCATCGATATTTTTTAACTCTTGTTGATGATTACTCTAGATTTACCTGGATTATTCTTATGAAACATAAACATGAGACACGAAAACATCTACAAAATTTTATTGCTCACATTGAGAATCATTTCCATGCCTCTCTTAAAACCATAAGGTTAGATAATGGACCTGAATTCATGATGAATGAATTTTATTCAAACAAAGGCATATCTCCTCAAAGAACATGCATTGAAACTCCACAACAAAATGGAGTAGTTGAGAGGAAACACCAACATATCCTAAATGTAGCCCGTGCCATTCTTTTTCAATCCAATTTACCTATTCATTTATGGTCTAATGCCATACACATAATAAACCGATTACCAACACCAATTCTGAAAAACAAAACACCATATGAGATTCTGTTTGATAAACCACCAGTACTCATCCATCTGAAAACCTTTGGATGCTTATCTTATACATCAACCATTACAGCTCATAGAACAAAATTTCAGCCTAGAGCCCGTAAGTCCATTTTTTTGGGGTACAAGGAAGGAACTAAAGGTTATATACTATATGACTTAACCTCAAGAGAAATATTCATATCAAGAAATGTAGTTTTTAATGAATTTATTTTTCCTCTCAATGCAGAAACTGAAATGGCTACCAAACAGATTCAACCTAAACATCAAACAGATCCTCCTACCATATTACCTTTTGATGATATTTTTCAAAATAACTCATCTGTACCCATCCATAACTCCAACCCATATACATCACATCCAGAAACTGAACCTGATAACATTAGAAGATCAAACAGAACTCGTAAACCTCCTTCATATTTACAAGACTTCCACTGTGAACATCCATCACCTGCTACTGTAGCTGTCACTCAATCAGGTAATTCTCAAACTCCATTGTATCCTCTTTCTTCTGTCCTATCATATAATGTTTGTTCATCCCATTCTACCCGTTTCTATTTAAATACTTCTTCAAATATGGAGCCAAAAACATACAACCAAGCTGTCAAACATGAGCATTGGCAGAAGGCAATGCAATCTGAATTACAAGCTCTTGACATGAATAATACATGGAAGATTGTTGACCTACCTCAAGGAAAGAAGCCCATAGGATGCAAGTGGGTATATAAAATAAAGTATCATGCTGATGGGACAATTGAACGATACAAAGCCAGGCTTGTTGCCAAAGGCTATACTCAATTAGAAGGGATTGACTATTTTGATACTTTTAGTCCTGTAGCAAAGCTCACTACTATTCGAATTCTTCTCTCTATAGCAACTAACAACAAATGGTGTTTAGAGCAACTTGATGTGAACAATGCTTTTCTTCATGGGGAATTAAAGGAAGAAGTTTTTATGGAAATTCCTCCTGGTCTTCCATGTTCCAAACCCAATCAAGTAAGTCAGCTACAAAAATTCCTCTATGGACTCAAGCAAGCTAGTAGACAGTGGAATGCTAAGCTTACTTCAGCTCTGATTTCTATTGGATACAAGCAATCCAATGCAGATTATTCATTATTCACAAAGCACAGTTCATCTTCATTCACAGTCCTTTTAATATATGTTGATGACATTGTGCTGGCTGGAAATAATATGCAGGAAATCAATTATGTGAAATCGTTCCTTGATCAACAGTTCAAAATCAAAGATCTTGGTTTCTTAAGATTCTTTCTTGGACTTGAGGTATCCAGATCCAAAGAAGGAATTATACTGAATCAAAGAAAATATGCATTAGAAATATTATCAGACGCGGGCTTGCTTGCTTCTAAACCAGCTTCCACTCCCATGGATGCAACTTCAAAGCTCAGCTCTGATACTGGTAATCCTTTAACTGATGAAGCTTCATATCGTCGGTTAATAGGACGCCTTTTATACTTAACAACAACCAGACCTGATCTCACTTATTCAGTACAACAACTCAGCCAATATGTCTCCAAACCAACAGAAGTTCACATGGCTGTTGCACTAATATAAAAAAAATGTGCCTCTGTTTTTTTTTTTTTTTAAATTAGTCATATGAGAAAATTTCTCTCCTAATACAAAAGAGAAATAATTCTCCTAACAAAAACAAGAGTAAAAATTATATTTACAAATTTTTTGTTTAGAAATTATATTATATATTAAGGATAATATATACTATTTAAGAGTATGTAATATTTGTAATATATAATAAATTTTATAAAAATTTATAAAGAAAAAAATTTGTAAATATATTGTAACCCTAAAAACAAATACATAATGTACTTGCCTTGACAATTAATCCGACAACCTAACAACCTTTCAACGGCAGCGCACCAACCTTTAAACGTTTTTTTAAAATACTTCTATAGCACCTTACCACTAGATTAAGTTCTGTTTTTAGTTATTGTTATTTTAATAATTATTTACAAAAATACATCTGTTTTGAAACTAAATATAGATTTATTGTACTCAGTCACGTTCAAAATTGGGCATGATCACTCACGCGTTCGCTACATGAGGCGTGATCTATGAGAGAAACACGTCTTGCATGGGATGTGTAACACCCCGTTCTAGAACCGGTTTGTTAACATCGCATTATGATATTAAGCGCAGTTACAATCACATGGGTTTAATTAAAATCCGGTTAAAATTTTCATTTTAAAACATGCCGAATTTATAATGCCCAATTGCGTGATCATAACCATATTACTTTGCGGAATCAGATAAACCAAGCTTAACATCATGTTCTTATTCCATTTTTAAACCATTAATTTACTTCTTATTTATTTCCCAACTTCTACTATATTGTAGATCTCTTCGTTAGCTACGCGTGGTTTCAAACCGTTCCTCATTTGGAGCTCTGTAGCTCAAGTTATGACAATTTTACTAACTCAGGTGTATGCTGAAAAACTACGCGGGAAGGGCGCTTAAGCGCGCTCCAGGGCGCTTAAGCGCCCACAGACAGAGGGAATTCACATTTTTTAGCCACCAAGGGCGCTTAAGCTCGCTCCAGGGCGCTTAATCGCGCTACCTGGGCGCTTAAGCACCCATTTTGGGCGCTAAAGCCCCAGGCGGCAGAGAGCTTTTGGTCTTCACAGGTGCATCAGGGCGCTTAAGCCCCCTCATGGGCGCTTAAGCCCCCTGAGCAGGCTTAAGCCTCCATTTGCAGGCTTAAGCCCCCTCTTCTGGGCAATTTCCTATACTCATATTTTTCATGTATCTTTCTTGGAGAATCAATCCTACACATTTTACAACCTATTTAACAAGCTTGCGATATCCCTATATCATTGCTTAACTCTCATCCTCTCATCATTGATTTAACAGAAATTGGGCAGCATAACCTTTGTTTTCTCAACGTTTCCCAATCTAGCAGCTTAGCTCCTAATAGACAATTCAGCTCAACATTTCCAATATTCATCATGCATTCATAACCTTGAAGTAAATAGCATTAATACAAGTTTAATTACATAACGGGGAACTTAGCTACAAAAGGCTATGATCATCCCTTGGCTCTCATCAACAAAAAGGATATCCAATGGCATGATCATAGGCTAAGTCCATCAAATATAACGAGATTTACATACGTCAATGCTATCAATGATCAATCCTATACATGTAAATCTACAAAATAACATGTATGATCTCAAAACATCATTTTCTTCATGCATGATCTACTGCAAATAAGGCCACTTGCCATTATAGGCTCTTGCAGCTTCCTTACCTGAAAGGGGGTCCCCATAACACGGGGTGAGATATACGAATATATCACAGTAAACCAGAGGTCCTTGGAGATCACTCCACCCTAAGGTTCACTTTCGATGTACACATAATCATAATAGCTTAACACATTCTTATCAGCAAGCATCACATGGACTTCCAAGAGAGATCCCAACCAAAGGGTGTGGATCCCCTAAGCTCTCCTTGAAGGGAATGTCTTCAAACACCTCCAAAAGCTATGTGGGTCGAATTTTGGGAGGAAGAAATCTCCCCCCCACAATGCTTCCCACACAAAACCAAGCTAGGGTTATGGAGGAGAAGAAGATTTGGAGTGATTTAGGCTTTTGAACGGATGGATTTGGTTGAGGATTGCTCCACCTAGGGTTCTCCCTCTCCTTTCCTCTTCCTTTTCCCTTCTTCTCCTTCTTCTCTTCTTTTCCTCTCTTCTGCACGACGGGTTGGGGAGGGACAATTGGGTTTCTTTTGTTGCTTTGGTCACTTAACTTATGTTAAGTGACTTTAAGCGAGTATTGGTTCGTCTATCTATTCAACTCCATTCACCACCAAACTTTACCCAAAAGTCTGGAATATTTTTCTATGGATATTTACATTTTTACTTTTATATTTTGGGTACTTTTGCCTACACCCATTTATACCCTTTAATTTTTACTGAGTACACTTTTTACCTCAAAAGTGACTCAGATTCATTTAATTAAGCCTTATACTTAATTTTACTCACTAAAACATGCTTAATTATTTAATTAAAATTAATCAATTAAATGCTTGAGTTTGGGGTATTATAGGATGTGAGTTATGAGTGTTGAATATATTAATAATATAATCCAATAGTATATTCAAATAAAGCTCAACAGGTGAAAACGTGATTATTTGGATACATGTGAGCTGGAGCCCAATAACTTATATTATTTTTAGAGTTTTCTAAACTGGAAGTAACATTGAATTCAATCTCATTAAAAACTTTAGTATTGCATTAAAAATATTCAATTCAATCTCATTTCAGACTCAAGACCAGGCAACAACACCTTGAGCCTTCTCAATTAGCAAATAACTAAGTTCTTCAAGCACACTTTTTCATCAGTAGCAATGAGAATCATATGAGACACTATTAGGCAAATGAAGCACGTGAAAGAGAAAGAGGAAAAAAATAAAACTCTACCTGTATTATCTGTTATAATGATATTAATTCAATTTTCATTAATCCGAAAACAAGTAAAACTGTAATTCTCATTTTCATTGTTCACTATCATTATGTTCCCCCAACAGCGCTTTCCACTCCAGTATTATCACTAGGTTATTTAATGAAGCCGTTAATGGTTTCAAATTAATTGTCCACCTAATAACTCAAATACATTTTCTGCTATCTGTATTGTGAAGACAGAAACGGCGTGAAGAAGTATTAACTCGTTCACTTTCTGTTATGCCTTAATTGAAGGGTAAACAAGTGTAGAAGTCAACATTAATTAGGTCAAAAAAGAAAGAGAACAAACCTCAGGGCTAGACATAGTTTGCTTATGCGTTAAATCAAGCTTACATCCCTGTTCACGTCCCAATGAGGGTGTGTCTCTTTCCTTATTCACGCTCTAATCTGGATGTATCTCTTTTCTCATAACCCACGCATTCTGTTTTCGTAAATAGTTATTAAAATTGCAATATTTTATTTTTTTCTCCCTAAAATGCATCACTTAATATATTTATTATATAATTTAAGACAAATATTTCATATGTAGCAACTTGTGGGAGTGAAACCCTTGTCATGAAAATGAATAGAATAACATTTACCACTAGACTAACTGTATTATCGGTTAAGAAGCACCATTTAATATATTTATTATATAATTTAATATAAATGTAATTTAATCGGTTAAACTAGTGATCTATCAGTTGAATCAATGACTTAATAATCTATTACCTCAACTGGGTCGATGAGGACAAGTTTAATAACATTGATTTTTATACATGCTTATAGTCTATGAAGCACCGACACTTCAAAAATCCTGACGTGTCGTGTCCGACACTTCCTGACACTCTCGGACACTCGGACACTCCCGACACTCCAACACGTGTTATAGAAATTCAAAAAAAGTTCAAAAGTTAAGTTGGGTTGAGTTTTTAGTTCCAATTATTAGATTCGTTGGATTACAATTACTATTTTATTGAATTTAATATAAATATTTGAGATATCTTATGTTTCTTTGCAAAATTTATGAATATTATAAGTGTAGATATATTTTTTTGTTAAATTATTAAATATTAAATATAATATATACTAAATAAATTAAAAATATTATTTAATATCAAAACGCGTCATAACGTGTCGAAATCTAACATTTTTTAAAATTAACGTGTCGGAGTGTCGTGTCGTATCGTGTCACGTGTCCCGTGTCAGTATCGGTGCTACATAGCTTATAGTTACTCAATGAAAACTATTATCTTAATAATCTTATTTTTTGTTTTAATTTTATCTGTTTATATTTTAATAAATTTAAAACTAATATTTAAAAATATATTAAGAATAAAATAATATAAATAGAACACCCTGTATTTTATTTTTAATTGTTAATGGGGCAAAATAAATAAATTATTCCAATATTTAAAAACGTAAAAGGTGAATTTGGACGAAAAAATCCAACAAATAAATTAGTCCAATATTTAAATGATTACAAAGCAAACCACATGCGAATTTTTGAACATTTCCCTTATTATTGTTTTTGAGAGGGAACAAATCAAGAACTAGTTCTTGATGTTCATCACTTATCAGTAATGTTTATGCTAACTTGACAGTACACATACACTAAAGGTTGAAGATTTAACAGATTTAACATGTCATGTACAAATTTCCTGGAAGATGACAGTAGAATGTAAAAGTGCTATTTAGAACAAATTACTTTCAACCCAACTAGTTTGGTATAAAAGTGTTATTGATAATGTTGATGTATGTAGAAAAGAAATAACTTTAAAAGTATAAAAAGAAAAAGAAAAACTACTTTTATTTAAAACAAATTGTAAGAAAGAAATTTTATGTTGTTTATTTTCCAAAAAAATGAAAATTTCTGCATTTTCCATAGTCAAATATAATAAAATAAATTTCCATGGAGCCTCCCTGATTTCTGGGAGACATGCAGCGCTGGACGTCATACTAAAAGTATAAAACCAACTATTGTGTAAAATTTAAGGTCACAATCATTTCCACATAAAATAAATCTGTTCATGTTTCTGAAACAAAATGATTATATAGATAAAAAAAATCTCAACACAAAGCATGACCAAGGCTTCTATATTTACAAACTCTGCTAACACAGTTGTCTTGCAAGGAATACAACAATGGAATTACAAAGAAGAAATTTTGCTTGGTATGCTAGCGATTAAACGCTCAAAATGTAGTGGCATCTTGGTGTAGAAGCATTATCAACCACATTTGATGATGGTGTATTGCAGATCTAAAGCCAATTAGGTCCCATCTTGTTGGAGGCGGGTTTTGAAGGATCATCCAAAACCTTAGCAAGAGAGCGATACTGCAATTTTACACTCTCCGCATTGTCCAATGTCTTCACCACATACCTGTACATAAGTCTTTAATTAACAACAAAAGCAAGTTTAACGTAGTTCCTTGAAAGCAACATCTTCAAGCAAACAAGTACACGAGGGAACCATCTGGTTCTCCTCCCTCTGGTTCTATTAGGTCGGTTTCATGAGGCAATAAATAGATTGGTATATTACTATATGAATAAATACTAAATTAACATAGCAAAACAAATTTTGATATTAACTGCTAGAGGAAAAAAATTATAAAGACACTAACCATCCATTCAGGCATTGTGTTGTTACAATAGCTTCGCGCCCAACAAAGCGTTGGGGTGTCCTTTTGTTTCCCTGCGTGTTCTCTCCAATTAGTTGCTTTTATAGATTTAAATTAAAGAAAACAGTAAAAACATTTTTGTAAGTAAAAAGCCTGATGACATACTACCTTTATGATAACCCGGTCCATCACAGCAAATGGAAATTGAACACCTCTACTCCTTGGTGGTTCCATAGCAGCTGAATCTCCAAAACCACCCTGTCCTACGTAAAATATTTTTCATATTAAAAAATAAGGGAAAATGTCAAGGCAAAACATAGGCGGTTCCTTGTTTTCTTTTCGTCTCTATTTCTCACTCTATGATGGTATAAACACAGTTGGGGCATGGAAATACACACCTGATCAAATCTTTCTCTTCTTCTTTTGGATGACCGGTAAAATTGTGACTCCTCTTCCCGACGGTATGCCTGCACAGCAGCTCGAAGTGCTGATCAAGGCAGCCAGCACCCCCACAAAAAAATGCAAGAAAGAAAATCAGAGTTGTGCAACATACCATTACTAAGTACAGTACTTTTCTATATAGTCTTCACATTCTTTGAGGTATCTTCTGTGCAGTGTCATTGCATTTTCAACACATACTTTGGTTGCATAGTTTTTAATAAATTTATTAAACGATCAAAAAAACCCCAAAGACATAAATTTAGGGCCTCTTTGAAATCTGTTTCAAAAAACAGTTCTTTGATTTTAAGAAGCAAAAAAACCATTTGATAAGGCCTGTTATGTAAAAAAAAAAAAAAAATTGTAACTTTTTTTGTTTTTAGAATCAAATTTAGAGAACATATCTGAGTTGTTTTTACTTTGTGTTTTGACTTTTAATTTTCAAAATTAAAAAAAAAAATAGAAAACACCTATTTCATTAATTATTCTACAAAACAGTTTAAGAACAAAAAAAATCAGAACATAATCACACACACCCTTAGATTCCGTTTTTCATGAATTCTCGTTCAATTGAAAAAAATTATACATTATAATTGGCAATATAATGGATATATTTAGTGCACTTCAAAAGAATAATAAATGGAGCCTAGGTTGTCAGTAGCAGTCAGTAGCGCTGCTAAACCGCTACCGTAGCGGGTAGTGGCAACGGCAACTACAACCGCGATGCTGGCAGGTAGCGGCGTAGCGGCAATACCGCTACACGCTATATTGCTATACCATTAGTTCAAATGAAGATGAAAGTGAGGGAGAAGATTTGTTGAAATTTGATGGAGAATCTGGAGATGATGATGATTTTCTTCGTTAGTTCACTTCTTGTAGTTGACTATTTGACAATTTCATTGTTCATTTGTGTTTAATGATCCTTCCTTTATGTTCCTTGTATTTGACATTGATTGTGGAATTATGTATTTGATTTTGTGTGGCTTCTTATGTTTGAGCATTTATATTTGTGTAGTATTAAACTGTTAGTATAATACATGTGGAATTAATACTTCACCGTAGCAACAATACCGCTACCCGCTACACCGCTATACCATTTTCAGGGACGGCCGCTAACTGCTACTGACAAGTATGAATAGAGCAGACATCCTCTCAACCCTTGCTAGCCCATTATTTATTTATTTATTTTTGGAATATATAAGCATGAAACCAAAACCAATCATACATAAAAGATTACCTAAAAATAAAAGAAATGACAAGCAAAAATTAAGCTTTAAAAGGCTAGTATTGTTGTTTATAAGACCAGAATTTTTTTTGAGTACAAATAATTGAATTTCAACATAATTTGCTTACATAGGTTTGGAGATATTGATTCCTCAGATGTGGGTTGAGAACAAGTGAAGCAAGCTTTCTGAAAATGCATCACATAACACATATTAGCTAGTTGACCACATGGCAATTCCTGAATGAAAAAAGCAATTTCTTATTTGAAAATTGAAACTTTGTAGTAAGAAACCTAAGTTGAAACTATCGAGCCAATAGCCACTTACCAAAACAGGTCAAACAAAAATTTTAACAGGTGGGAGCCATGTGTATCTCTCAACTTCTACAGCCTACTATGGGCTGATCAGCAACCCAAACATATACAGACGAGTGAAATGACTATATTAACATTCACTCTGCATTCTAGTTTATTAATATTACAGATGAATAAAGGGCATTTCCCAAAGTCAACTTTATGGGAAATCCTCTAATCCTCAAGAACCATGAGTAGAATCTGATTCTTGCAAGCAGGAAGATTTGATATAAAGCTACATACAATGTCCATCCCCATTCAATAATTTTTAATCAACTTGAATATGTTCTTCCACTTCAACATTTGATCAACTTCGTCAAAAATTCAGTTCCCATCTTCTCAAAACCCATTCAACAATTTTCTATATTCTCAAAAAAAGAAATGAAAATTTGAATCTGCTGAATCAATATTGAGTTATTTATGTTTCGGATTTCATAGATTTGCTATCCAAGTTCTAAGCAACTCAGAGCATCACTATATTCTCATCTCCCATGTGACTCTTCAGTCTCAGCATGTATTTTTCAAAAAGCACTACCCAATATAATGCAATAAGCTCATATGAGGTTGAAGAATGCCACATATACATTCTGCCTAATGAAGGACACATAGGCTCTCTTTTTTTGTAGTCATATAATGCATATTTAATCTTTTTTCTCAATAACAAAATGATAGTGAAACTATAAGCTCTAAACCAAATATTGTGATCAAAACTGATCCATAGATATTTCCTCTTCACATCAGAATGGCGACAACAGATGCAAAATTATGACATTTCATCAGGATTTATACCAATATCATCTTGTGAGCATAGCAGACTTATTAACTTCGATACTTTGACACGCACAGTAATGAGAAGAGCACAATATTCTATTCTGTCACAGTTCATAGTGGTAAATGACAAAGAACTATCATCCCTTTCTTTCCTAATTGCATAATTTCAACAAATTTTATACTGTAGTGATTATAGAGAAACTTAAATATGCATGAAATCTGGGAACAGCCTTATGTGATCAAGATCATAGCAAAAGCACAAAAGACCAATAGATGGGGTATAAGATGCAGAAGCGAATCTATGTACCCTTGATCAAAGTAGGATATGAGAACGCAAGTAAATAGGTTTATTTCTATGGCTCATCTGAATTATATTGGAAACAAGTACTTATTCACAATATAGTCACTAGTAGCTTTGAGAGTCCTGCCATTCTACTGTGTGGAGGCATATACATGAGAAAAAGAGGTTGAAAATTACCAGCTGCATAGTTAGTAAGATTTTTCAGATGACTAGTCACAGAAAAGGTCAGTCCGAAAATTATGGCATTTGATGGCTTAGAACCCACCATTCTAATAACATGCTGTATTCCACCTCCACCAAATGAATGTCCACAAGGTAATATCATTGCATCATCCATAAGAGCTCCCCTTTATTTTTCAGAGGATGACACCAATAAAATATAAAAAGCATTAGTTATAAGCATGAAAAAGCAACTCCAGAAATAAATAAGATATCAGCAGATCAAACTTATGTGATTGTATACTTGCAAACCACGGGAGACATGTAAAAAGACCATTTTCTTTATTTTGCATCACCAAATTTGAGATCTTAATTAAAAGAGACTAAAATACACAAGTAACTGATTTTCAACAGGCTGGACACAGTTTTTTACATGAGGGATCAACTAACGCTAATAGATAATCTCATGAAGAACAAACCATATAGTTTCATCAATGATCTGAAGTGAACTGAAGCTCACTTCTTTTTCTTCATTACAAAAATTTTCTGTAGGACAATAACACCAAACTGGTAGCCAAGACCTTCTTGTAAGGGGAAGAAAAGTAGAGAGATGTTTATAAGGATAGTAGGAAGTATGATTTCTAGCAACAAGCTGGTGAAAATGGCATATACTTGCACAATGCTTTTGCGTTCCAAACATGAACTTTACATACCATTGCAGGACCAATTATATTCAATCAAACAAAAAGGGAAGGTTGGAGAACGCTAGCAATAAAAAAACAAAACAAATTATGAAGATTAAACTTGAAAAACTCCACATTATCTCAAATATTGCTCAACAATCATAGTATAAAAGAAGGGTTTAATGATTGTAATTTTAAATGACACAACTTTGTGTCATTTTTAATGAAACTACGTCGTTTTGGTGTGTTTTGTCATTTTCTCTAATTTATAAAATTAAAAAGAAAAAGAAAATGGAAGAGAGAGAATGTAAAAACTTACCAAATCGACGTAGTTCATTAAAAATGACATAACTTTGTGTTATTTTTTTTATTTTTTTGTAATAACTTTGTGTTATTTAAGAAATGATAAACATTTTTCCCAAGAAAGAACCTTTTACCCACTAAAACTTTTTTATTTTATTTTTTCCAAACTCAGAAAAAACTAAAAAGAGACTTACGTAACAGGATCTGAAAGAATAGCCCTCAATGATTCCCCTGACTCGGATGAATACATAACATCTTTTCTTCCACTAAACCCACAACCATTGTCATCCACCATAACTTTCTGCCCAGAAGCTGACCCTTCCGTGCCTTGAAGATAGTGCGAATAGTAGTCCTCACAGTCAGTTTCAGCAACGGTAACAGAATTCTGGGATTTACCTAATCTTTCTCGATGATGATCTTCATCAGTACCACTCGCATTATTATGCACTAGCTGTCCAATGTCACCATCCTTCCCCAATAACTCTCTACCAGAAACTACAATTCAAAAATGAAATATATATATATATATATATATATATATATATATATATGTATATATATCAAAAAATTGAAATTGTCACATATAGAAACTCAAAAGGATGCAAACTTTTCCTCATTCATACCATAAGGGGAATGATGCTGGGCTTTCCCATTTGAAACACCAGGCAAATTACCACCACCGTTACCGTTGTTATTATTAACGTCATTGATTGCATTGAGATTGCGCTTGCTCCCATCACCAACACCAACGAGTCCTTCTACTTCGCCGTCTTCGTCATCCTCGTCATCATCATCTTCGTCATCGTCTTCGTCATCGTCCGATTCATCGCCGCTTGGAGTTGCGGCGCCGCCGTTCCCGCCCCAATTGCGGGCATTAGGCGGGTCTCGGCGACCCGAACAATCGCCGAAAATGTTGCGGCGGAAATCGGTGCCCTGGGCGGCAAAAAACCGGTCGCGCTCCATGGCGAACATCTTGTCGTCGACGAAACCACCGAGGTCCCTGGGTTTCGGACCCGGGTCCCCGACCCGGCGCTGTGCGGGGCCACAGTTGAAGCGCAAGGGGTCGTCTTGGAAGACTAGAGGCGAGTTGAGACCGTTTTCGATCCTCTGGTCAGGAACGAGACCCATGTCTTCGGAGGACATGGTGCGAACCGCAAAGCTCGAATTTCGGAATAGGCAAGAAAATCTGCGACTGCGAGCATCAACTAGGGTTTTGGGACAGTATTTGCCGCAAAACGGCGTCGTTTCGCCGTTGCTTTTCTTATGATAGGTGAACGGGAATGGAAGAAAAGTGTGACACACACACAACAGTCCTTTCTTCGCATGCTGAGGAAGACGTGTCATTTTTTTATTTTATTTTTTTATGAAGACGTGTCGTCTTTAGCTAATGACATTTGTATGCCATTTGAAAAACGAATTCATGTAATAATATATATGATAGAATATTTTATTAGTAATTAGTATTATTACTAATGTTAGTATCATTTTGTTTTATTATTATATTAATTATGTTGATCAAATAGTTATATATTTTTTTTTTTGTATGTTTATATTTTTAATATTTAATGTAAAACATTAAATATAGAGAATCATAACTATATAAAGATAAAAATAAATATAAAATATTAAACATAAGGAAAAAAAATTAAATCATGAATTATAATATATTAGTGAAAGATATTATCAAATTAACATAATTAGTAACAAATTGTGCAATACAGATGTGTAGAACTAGGTATGCATGTATTTTGTGTATTTTTTTTTAAAACGCGAAAAATCATGCCAGCTGGCTTGAACCGTTAAATTATGCATATTTACTTACCATATGAGAATATTCTTATGAGCCCATTCGGTTGGTTTTTTTTTCTTCAAAAATTACTTTTTTTAAGAAAAAAAAGCACTTATCGAAAAAAGTCTTTAGATACCTGCTTTTAAAAAAAGCAGAAGTCAAAAAAAGTCAAAAATTCACTTTTTTCGGAAGCTAAAAATTTTAGCTTTTAAAAAAAGTAAAAGTCAAAAGCCAAATACTTTTTCAAAAATCAAATATTTTTTTAAAATCTAAATAGCTGTAACTTTTATAATAAGGACGTGCTAAAAAGGACTTTCTCAAAAAGCCAATACAAACGAACTCTATATAACAATTGTAAGTCCCGCAAGAGTATTAAAAGTCTCGCAAGATAGGGGTGTTCATGAATCGATCCAAATCGATTTAAATCGCGGTAACCGAATCGAAAAACCGATAACTGAATAAATCGAAAACCAAAAAAACGAAAACCGAAAAAAAATCGCAAGACCGATCGGTTTTTGATTTGGTAGATGAAAACCGATCTAATCCAAATCGATCCAATATATTAATTTCCTTTTATCTACTTGGGTCTTTCCCCAAGCATAGCCCAAAAATTTCTAAACCCAAGACCGATTAACCCATCAACTAAATTCAAAAAAAATCTAATCACATCTCATCAACAAAATTTCATCTATGTAGTGTTTCATATCTCATTGTAAAAAAAAAACTATATTATCGTTTACTGGTGCTTTTGTATTTTAAAAAAAATTACAAAGTCAATGTATACAGAAGATGTTATTTGCACAATAATCATGAAACAAATTTTAAGATTTTCAAAAAATCGAAAATCGATCCAATCCAAACCGAAAAAAATTGGATTGGATCGGATTCAAAAAAATATCCAAACCGAATGGATGATTACATGACCAAACCGAAATGATTGGATCAGATGATTTTTGCTTCTAAAATCGATCCAATCCAGACCGCGAATACTCCTACCGCAAGAGTATGAAAAATGGGTTCAACCTGTCAAAACGAAGTGAGTTGGGTTATGTATTGTAACCCACCAACCCAACATAACCTATTTATTCGCGGGGTGGGTTAGTTTTGTTTTGTTTTGTTTTTTTTGGTGAACTGGGGAGGGTTAGTTTAATCTGTTGATCAACTTGCTTATCATTATTTTTTTTAAAAAAATATTGAATGTTAGATTATGGCTTAGTTGGTTTATATGAATGGGCATTATATGAGATAAAATCTTTTCTTTTAAGACTATAATACTATTATTTTATTGAAAAGGTTATTTTTTATTCACTTTTTATTCGGCACAAAAAGAAAATAGCAAAAGAATAAAAGAAATTTAAGCCTAATTTTTTTATATAAATGTTAATATCTATATAAATCAAGCTAGATACTTATGAAATTCTAGTTTCATGATGCAATAATATGCTCATTTGCAAATATGCACACGTTTAATATCATTATTTTGTTATACAGTGACATTGAAATTATTAATTAATTTTACGATATGATTTGTATAATTATGTTAAATAAAACTATTGGCTTAAATCATTCATTTAACTTTGACTCATTGCTTGATATATTTTTAAAACTTAAGAAATATTTAAATGTTAGATATTAGAAATAAAAAATTAGTATTAATATTTTTTAGATGGACTAAACCGCCAAGCATCTCAAAATGGGGTTGGTTGAAAAATGACTGGACAATCAGCTCTATCTCGTTATTGAGAGGTTGAAGGCGTGACAAGTTAGCCCGTTTTGCCAACTCTACGCAAGACTAACATGAGAGATTAGTCTTCAATGGTCAATGTATGAGACTCAATTTAAGTACATGTTTCAAGAATGAATTATTCTAATAATTATTTTTCATAATTTCACTAGTATGATCATTGAGCCAAATCATCATAATACAAGAGTGCAATTTGATTATAGCGCAAAAAGCTCTACATATGAAAAAACTTTAAAATTCTGTATTTGGATAATGAATGGTTGCTTACTTGATCAATTCCATGGATTACGCTATATAAACTATGGCAAAAGTGTATGTAATTTTAAAGCACTAACATTATTCGCTACCACTCCCGAGGGCTAAAGCACCTTTTTAGGACTTTTAGGCAAACAAATTGCATAGTTAAAGCTCATTAGACAGTTTTTTCAAACTAATGCAATCAAACACGTCAATGTATTGACTGGATTAGTCCCGTCAATGATCTTGATAAGACTGATGTCACATCAGCGCCACGTAGGTCGTCCTGTTACCGTAAAACTTCAAAAGGCCATAATTTTTTACTCGGGTATCCAAATCAGATGATTTTTTTGTTTATTTCAGATAATTTTTTGAGATTTATGCAATGACACCTCATTCGACATATTTTATTTCCCACAAACAAAATTCAAATTTGCAATAATAGTTCCACAATCACAAGAGCATCTAAACCCATAAGCTCCTGAGTTCTTTACAAACCAACACCGTGAGCTACAACATATGTCATCGATTGACACATTTTATCTATGTGAACGATGTTATTTAATTCCTTTTCTTACGAAAAATCTTAAAGTACTTCTTATCTTGTTGCTGAAAAATAATTGGCTCATAGGCTAATTGTAAGAACCCGCACCGTTAATTAAGGAATTTAATTAATAAATTATGAGAAAATAGGAAATGATTCCATAATTGACCCTAATAATTATTATGAGGCTTTAATAATTATAGTGAGTGATTAAGAATGTTGAAAGTCGCTTTTCGGAAGAAAAGTGCAGATACCGGTTCTGCTAGTCGGTATAAATGCGTACCGAAAAAGTATCCTGGAAAATTATTATAAGTGCATGATAATTACTAGAATAATATGTAGGACTTGGAAAACGAGTTTCAAGTCAAAATAATGAGAACTGGTGCCAGAAACTGGTACTGGCTATGAAAAACGCGTACTGGAAAGGTGCTCTCGAAAATTATAAGAAAAATATGATAATTCTTGTAAAATTGAGTAGGTTAAGAATCCAAAGTTTGGGATTAAAATCCTAAGCGTAGCAGTTAAAGTTAATACTGTGTGTTTAACCTTTAAGTGGCCTATAAATACTCTTTATTTGGGCATACAACCCTAGAATTCTGTTGCTACGTGGGTCTTCTTGGTGGCTGACCAGAAAACACTGCTCCATTGCCTTTCTCCATCTCTTGTGAGCCAAGTTGCCATCTTTTTACTTGGTTCTTCATTCTTGAGCTTGCATACACTTGAGAGCTTGCATGGAGAGGGAGTGTGGGTGTATATTCTGAGTTTCTAGACACTGTGAGTAGGGTGTGAGTGCTGACCTTGTTGGTTTGAGGGTTGAGGGGACTTGTTCCTTGCTTGTGAGGCTTCAAAGTGTCAACCTTTGTGAAGAAAGGGCATAGCTTGTGTTGCCATTTTCGTTTTTGGTACAAGTCAGAACTGTAGAGGCTGTGTGGTGAGCTCTGAGAGCCATTCTTGCTCTGTTTTGAGCTTTGGTAAGTGTCACCAACCTTGATCATGTGTCTTGATGAGTAAAAGAGGTGTCTTGGCATGTTTAATGAATTAAACAAGTAACCAACTGTCATATGAACATAAATGAACCTTAAGAGGCATGTTTAAGCTTCTTGAATTGTTAAAAATGGAACCTTGGAAGGATATCTTCGCGAAATGCAGAAACTGCATTCTGTCGCGAAATATCTGGATATTTGCCGTGGAATATCCGGATATTGATATCCGGATATGGGGATCTGGATATTGCCAGAGTGATATCCGGATATTGCCTGTGAAATATCCAGATATTGGATATCCGGATATGTCCCCGAGGAATATCCGGATATTCTGGGGAGGAACTGTTCATCCAGAACTGATCTATGGGTTTGTGGACCCTAGTTTGAGGAAGTTGAACTTCTGTAATTAAGTTATGTAAGTCAGAATCAAATGATTAAGGGCTTATGGCTTGCTGAGAAGCCTTAAGACGTAAAACGTAATGGAAAGGCGTTGTCTTAATATTGTATGCTTGCGGTGCATATTATTGATATATTGTTGGTCCATAACAGATTGTGAATCTGCTGTGTTTGGACTTTGAGCTGTGGACTCTTGGCTTTGGGTGTTAGCTTGCAAGGTAAGCTTTCGTGTCCTCGGTTTAGCCATGTTGTGGTTCCACCATGTCCTATGGGGGTATGGATATATGCATGATGTGTTACATGCTTTGAGATATATGAATTTATGTTGAGCTTTATGTGTTAATGGCTTTTAATATGCATATGTTGTTCCATCTTGACGGTAAGCCTGAGTATGTGGCGTCATACAATACGGTGATCCGGGGTGGATATAAGCGGCGTCTTGTACTTATTGTGGGATTGTAGACGTACATCCTGCATTTCTCTGGCCAGTAGATTAGTATTGACACACATGACATGATTATCTGCTGCATTGCACTGATTTAGAACTGATGATGATAAACTGCTTTTGAACTTATATTGCACATGTAAGTGAGCTTGGG